GTCTTGGACATGGAGCTGGATTGCATCTTCGGGCTTCCTGCTGCCACCCTGTACCCGTTATCCTACCCACCCTTTACAGCTCAGTTCTGGAGGCATTTCCTCATTCAGCATTCACTGAGCACTTCTGCTGGGATACAAAGATAAATGATCACAGCTGAGCTTTCATGGATCCCACAATCTAATAAACAGATGATTGTAATGCAATGTGGTAAAGCCCATGATGAGGAAGCACACAGTGCTCCAGGAGCACAAAGGCAGTCCCCTAACTTGGACCTGGAGCAGGGATGGACCCAGAGGCTGGAGGTGAAGGATGGATAAGTTAACAGAGAGCCTCAGGAGGCTGCATCATTCACTGTGACAGGAGAAGGCTAACAATGAGATGCAGGGCTAAGCAGGGGCTACATCACACAGCACTTTCTTAGCCTTATTGTGTCCTTTAGACTTTACCCTCTTCCCTGCTAGGGGATTAAGGCTTTAACCCAAGAGCAGAGGAAAAGTTTGTTGGTGGATGGGTGGGGGGTGTTAAGCACTAAATAACAAAAGTACATTTTTGACTGCTGTTTGAAAAAAAGGGGGGGTCAAGAGTGGAAGTTTAAGAAAATGCCTTCACTAGGGTAGTTACAAGAGGAGGTTGAAATGGTTTTCTTAGGGAGAAATCAACAGAACTTGGTAATTGGATTTTCTGTTTGTATGTTTTTGAGACAGAGTTTCACTATATACCACTGATTGGCCTGGAACTGACTATGTAGAGTAGGCCGGCCTCAACCTCATTGAGATCTACCTGCCCCTCGCCTTCAGAGTGCTGGCATGCACAACCCATGCCTGGCCAGTTGGTTTTATATGAAGAGGCAGGGTAGAAGGGATTATAAATGGTTCTAGTTTTCTAGATTAGAAACTGGAAGAGTAGTTTGGATAGAGGGTGATAAGTTCAGTGTTTAATACAATAAATCCGAGGTGCCTATGGGACAGAATTTAAGTGGAAATGTCCAGCGGTCAGTTGAAAAGGCATTCAGGAACTTAGAACCTGGAGACATGAATTTAGATGTCCCAGGTGTAGGGATACCCCTGAAGCCACAAAGTGGATGACACCAGGGTAAGGTGAGAAAGGGGGACCTGCAACTGAGCTCCAAGGAAGGAATGCCACATTTAAGGTGTAGGTTCAGAAGGCAAAGTTTGTAAAGACTGAGACGGTATCAGAGGGTCAGAAAAAGAAGGAAGATGTCTGGAGGCCAGGAAAGCAGAAGAGCCTCCCCATCAAGGCTGTGATCTTCACTGTGAAATGTGAGGGAGGCCTCATGATTTAAAGCCCTAAAGAAGCTGCTTTGAGTTCAAAGAGTGTGGTTCCCAGAGCTGGAGAAATTGTCAGATTCAGGGAGTTAAGAAGGCAGTTGATTTTGAATAAATGAAGTCAGCTAGTACAAAATGAATGAAATCCTTGACATCTGGGGAAAAACATGTTCCAAGCCTTTTCAGTTTCTCCAAATTCTCTAAGGGCATCTGATTTCCCCCACAACATCTTCCTTCAATCATACAAGATTCCTAACATACAGGATTTACACAGCTGTGAGTGGAGGTGACCACAGCCATTCTTGAGGTGTGTATGGAGGAGGTCAGCTAGGCTCACTTGCTAAAATGACTCGTTCCTACCTACTAGCCTCCCAGCATTGATCATTTGAGACTCAGCAAAATAAAGCAAGCTTTGGGGCTTTCTCCAGAAGCACTGGATAAGGTAAAGTCCTCAAATCCAAGGAACCCTTTCCAAAAGACTGGCAGGGAAGTGATAAAATTTATATTAGCCATCTACCTCACTAATACCTGACAGAGTAGGCAAATGTACCATTCAATCAAGCATCCCTGGACATATTTCCAGATCCTTCACCTGGAAACTAGAGACAGAAAGCTGATCAGACGTGCTTCCTACCTTTCACCTGTGGGAAACTGACATGCTCATACATAATTACAATGTTGTAAGTACCATGACACTGACATGTTCAAACTGCTATGGCAGGAAATATCTAACTTAGTAGAGAATGAAAAAGGCTTCCAGAGGAAGGGATATCTGAGCTGGACCTCAAGGGACAAACATGAGATTGATAGGTGCCTTGGGAAACCCGTGAGTAAAAGAACAGAAACATGAAAAATTTCCAAACAGATTAGCAGTGCAAGGGAGTAAGACTCAAAAGAGCAGCATCTGTACTCAAGGGTTTTATGACCCATTGATCTAAGCTGTCCACTTGCTTCTTTGGTTGATCTTCCGCCCATTCCTTAAATATTTAGTTATACTGGGTTTTGCTTCAAGATCTCTTCTCTCAGTTTTCATACTATGTCTGGGCAATCATGATTTTCCACAGTTTCAGTTACCATCTGACTGCTAGTAACTCCTAAAACCTTGTGATGAAAGACTCTCTTGAACCCCAGAGCTGTCTATCCAACTGCATCTTGGACATCTCTTTCTGATGCACGAGAATGTCCCAAACTGAATTCATTTCCTCCTGACCTTCTCTTCCTGCCGAGCTTCTCCTTTCCATAAAAGGCACTGCCAATCACCTAGCCTCATCAGCCAGAATGCTGGTAATCTCAATTCTGACTCCTCTCACCTCCAGATACAAGCTATAACTACATTCTTGATGCTGCTTCTAAAACATACCGAGGTTTAAAAAGTCAAGAGATTTGGGATCTAGTCCTGACCATCGTCAAAAACTCCTATCCCATACGCTTATTTGTAAAATGGGAGTGAGAGAGTTTCAGAGGCCTTTCAAACTAAAGGCCCCTACAGACTGCAATATGTTCATGATTAAATCTCATCTCAAACTAACTTGGTAATATGATTGCTAATTTCCATCAAAATGCTAAGTACATTAGAGGGTGGTCACAGGTTGCCCCTCCTCCTGCTTTCCAAAATAAATATTTGCTGAGTTAAGTCACCCATGACACAGCCTTCAGCACTCCTCTCTACACCAATCATGTGTGTTTTCTGAACAAGCTATGCTGTCCCAGCTTTGGTCCTTTGCTCAAGCTCTTCTAGCAGCAGGAATGCCATGGTCCCTAAGCAGTTGAGTTGGTGCCTGTCACAATGAAAGTACTCAATTTATGTTGGTGACAGGAGAGTCATGTTTAAACTCTGCAGTTCCCCCTCATCAGAGAGAAACAAAATCAAAGGTGGTAACAAGACAAATGAACAACCTTCCAAGGAGAGAGACCTCTACTTAACATAAGGAAGCTTTCCCACAGCATAAGGTAGTAAGTGCTCTGTCACTGGAGGCATGCAAGCCAAGAGAGGCAGGGCACCTGTCAGGCCTGCAGCTCTCATTCCAATTCTGCAGCAATCCAGAGTCCTGCTTAGGGGATGAATGGAGCACTGATGAGTTGGACACTGGCTGGAGAGACCTGTGAAGATGACCGACCTCTACATACACTCTGAAATCCCAGATCTAGCTTTCCGTTGGTGCTAGTCCTGGGTTTCTGTGGTCCACATGGGACTCCCACATCAGAAGCATGCCCAGGGCCTGCTTTTGGTCAGATTGACCTCCCTGGGGTGCAGCCTGCCCTTCCAACCTACAACCATCTGTCCCTGCAGGTTTGCAGCCCCGGTTCTGAAGCCAAGTCCAGAAGGGAGGCGGTCAGAACCAGGGAGGGGCCTAGGCTTCTCCAGGCGGGGCCCAGGCTGCAAGAGAACTAGAAGGGGTCCTTTCCCCAGAGAAACAGCCTGTGCCTGAAGCTTCCTGTCCAGCAAGCAGCGCCCGCGGCGGAGGAAAGGATGTCCTCCTGCACCCTGGCTGGTGGGCTTCTTGGTACCCAAGAAGGATGGGGAAGGAAAGGAGCTGGGGTGGAGGCATCAGCACCCCAGAGAAAGGAACCCTTTGGACAAGCTGGGCCACAAGATTCCAGAGTCGCGATCAGCAACCCCACCCACCCCCCACCACCCTCGGCCACAGCATTTGGCAGCCTCCGCCAACACACACAAGCTCCCAAACCCCACGCTCCTGAAAGGAACCATCACCCATCCACCCGCGCCTCCCCCCACCCCACCTCCCGCAAACATGGGCCTCACGTGAGCAGCCACAGCCCGAAGAATCCCCCCGCTGCTCTCACAGACATGGACACGCCTCGCGTGGACGGAGACAGGAACAGCTTTTGAAAAGCATCCGCACCCCCATCCATAGACGCTCGGACAGACACACGGCCGTGAGGACACGGCCCCGGACCCCCGCACCAGAGGGGACCAAACACACCCTCGGGGCCCGCCTGGCGCACTCACGGCGTTGGAACAGGATGCGAGGGCAAGGCCCGGACTGCAGCCACTCCGAGGGGCCCGCGGCGCTGCCCCCGCTGCCAGCGCCCGTCCGCCCAGCCCTGCCTGCGGCGCCGCCCCACGTCCCGCGCCTCCTCCTGTCCCCGCGCCGGCGCCGCCGCCGGACCAGCCGCACAGGCCGGAGGGAGGGGTCGGGGCGGGGCTGCGGACCGACCGGGGGACGGGGCGGCTCGCGCTGAAGACCTGCCCCGCCCACACCGCGCAGGCCCCGCCCCCGTCCCTCCGCCCCTGCGGCTCCAGCGGGCGCAGCCTGTGTGGTGCGGCTGGGGAGCCCGGCAAGCCGGCTCCCGGATCTAGGATCCCGGATCTTCGCCTCCTGCTCCCGAGGCCTCCGGAGTAGGGCGGTGCAGCCGGGTTCAGGTACTGGCATATGGTGCGGTTAAGAAGAGGCAGCTAGAGCCAGCCCGACCAGAGTGGTCGCACCTTCTCTGGCTCCTACGGAATTAGCTAGTTCGGTTTCCGCTGCAGGAGCGAGAGGGACCACCTGTACCTCGGCCCAGAACTCTAGGAGAGGGGACTTACAGGGTAACTGGGGTACCTCAGTCGGTACTGGGTGCCTCGGGAGAACCCTCGTGAGAAAATTTTGGTTTAGTCCAGCGACTCCTTTCCTCACATCAAAGACCCAGAGCAATTCTCAGAACCACTGCATTATGGAAAATAGCCCTGGTTAGAAAATAGTAAAAAAATGTACGTTAACAGGGACTGAGTGTTTATTATGTGCCAGACACAGAACTAATCACTATACATACATTATCTCATTTAATACTCATAATCATGATAGGTAGCTTCTTTTATTAGCTATTGTACAACAGAAGTAAGAGCTTTAGTTCCCCCGGCGTTAATCCTAATCACTTGGCTGAAAATGGTGGAATGTTTGGGCTCTGCTTTCAGGCTCCATCTCCAGCCAGTTGGCGACTCAGTGCATTTATGGGCACTCAGGTCTATAAAGTAAGGGACTGTATGAGGACCCCCACCCCTAATAATTGGCAGACAGCTGACTACATACAGGCTAACCAAAGCCCAGGAAGTCTGGCTGGGAATTGTATATCAAGAGGCCAACTTACGTGAATCCCGTGCTATGAGAACCTGCTGGCGGGGTTGTCCGTTCTCCACCCTCCAGAGGTGGGAGATTGTCTTTGGCCAAGGGCTAACATTGTGACGGCCCTGACTAAAGTGCTGCTGGGAGCTGTCTTGTGACTTCTCACATAAAGTTCAGGTCTGGGTTTAACAACTGGCTGCAGGAGGTGCCATGGAACTGCCTCCTTCTCTGAACCCAGCAAGGGACACTGACTGCTTGTGTGAAGGAGCCTCAGGCAGGCTTCATGCTTAGAGTGCCAAGCTAGGGCCACTAGGCTACCAAAGATGAACACTATTTTAAGGCGCAGTACTTGTTCCTCAACCTTGGGCTTCTAAATGGCAAACCTGATTGAAAGGTTTGTTTCCTTTCTCTGAAGGGTGAAAGGTCTTTCTTTTGTCCTGCCCTCTTCCATTTTTCATTCCAGGCTGAATTCCTACTCAGTCTTCATGTACACTGGCCTTTCTGCCTGGCTGTTGGACACTTACTTTTCAGATTGCAGCTTTTAAATTGGCATCACCATCTCTACCCCAGTCTAAGCTAGGTGCCCCTTGTCTGGTGCTCCCACTGCATCCTGTATTGCTGTATCCTAGTATTTCTCATTGTATTGTAGTTGCCTGGTTACTCATCTCTATCCCCCACTAGGCCTTAAGCACTGTGAGCAGGGACTGTGTTTTATTCACTGATGTTTCCCCAGGGTCTAACGCAGTGCCTGGCAAATAAAAGCACTCAGTAAACATTTGCTGTATGATTGAATGCATGATGGTCAGCAAGCTCAAGCCTCTCTGGACCCTATGCTCTTCAGATCTATAGCTATCTTGGTGCTAACCAAAAAGGAAAATAAAGCTTTGGCTCCAACTGGGACTGAGGGAGATCAGGCCTTCAGGCTGTTTCTCAAACTTGTGATTTCAGCTGTCTGGCTGCAGCTCTTCTGAATTCATAGGATTTGAATGCATTAGACTGAGCATTTCTCTGCCAACCCACCCTCCTCTAGTCCCCCACAAATTGACCTCACTGGGCCTGCTTTTAGGAAAGGTTTATTCCTAGTGCTAGATCCCAGTCTTCCTGGTCTCTAAGCACAATTCAACTGGGTAGCTGGACAAGGTGAGGCCCATTCAGATGCAGGGTCATCAATGGGGCTCCCCATTATCCCCACCCCTTTGGTCCCAGTCCCCTTCTCTGCCCTGGGCACACACAGAAGGGGGACAAAGGGTATTGGAGGCAACATCGTTGGCCCAGGGGAGCCCAAGAAGAGCTGCCATTGGCAGACAGGGCCTTTTGAGGTCCTGCCTTTGGTCAGGGGCACATCCCAAAGCTGGGGCTAGGCCTGAGGAGTGATGCCATTGGCCAGGGAGCGATTTTGTCATAGCCTTTGGCTGTGGAGTGAAAGGAAAAGATCTGGGAATGAAGCCCAGTGACCAGGAAGATAAAGGACAGGGCAGCAGCTTCTGGGCCTACAGGCCCTCTTCACACCACAGTAGTATGGGCAAAACTGGTGTCAGACCCCAGCCAGGAAAAGGGAGCCCAAGCCGGAAAGCAAGTGGCAAGGGATGTCCCACGTCCCGTCTCCTCCACCCTGGGACTGCCCTGCCCAGTGTCCTTCTTGATAACCAAGTTGGGCTGGAAGCCGCTCACTGCTCCTCTAGCCAGGAAGGCTTCTCGGCTCCTGGAGGCCGCAGCTTGATGTTGAACTGCTGCAGGGTCTGCTCCAGCTGTTTCTGGTTCCCAGCAAAGTAGGCGGACACCGCATTGTGGAACAGCAGCAGCTGCTTGTGCATCACCTTGATCTGGGGGTCCAGCAGGGTCAGCTAAGGCTGGACTCAGGCACCCTGTTTGAGGGGCTGTGAGCCTAAGCCTAGGCACAGACCAGGGGCATATGGACTCTGCTCTGGCACAGACAGTGCTTTTGGGTGGAGAACAAACTCCACCCAAGAAGTCAAAAGGAGAAGGCTCAATATGAAGAACAGAAACCTGACTTGATCTGCTCCATTTAGGGCTCTGGTACCCCAGCCTAGGGGGTAATTTTTCCCAGTTACATTCCTGGGACCAGCAATCAGATCCTCAACAAACATGGCCAGTGATCAGGAGGGCAATCTCCTCAGGGATCAAGAAGCTAGAGGAGCACCCCCACTCCCTGAACAGGCTGCATCTCCCCAACCAATAAGTGGGGAGGGTCTGAGAGGAAGGGTACCGTCAATGGGAAAGTAATTTAGGACCAAAGGAGTGGGGGTGAGCACCTTGTTTTCTTCCAGAAACTTGAGCTTGATGGCCACATCTCCCCGCAGCTTCTCATATTTGTCCCGATGGGCCTGGAATGTGGCCTGGGCACTCTCAAGTCGACCACGCGTCCCTGCATCCCGGGGGCCTAGACTCAGCTCCTCTAAGTCTGTCCGGTAGGCATCATACTCCAGCCTAGGGAAGGGGTGATAAAGGCTGGTCTCCGCCCCTTGGTTCACATATGTAACTCCTTTCCTTCCTGAATTCATATGCCCCTAAATGCTCAAACTTCTACCCATGCCATCCAATTTCCCAAACCTTAGGCCCTGCCAGTGCTCACACCTGGCAGCCTCATACTGTTTGACAGTCATGAGCGTGTCTTCCATGGTCTTGGTGACCAGTGTATTGATGCTAGAGACAAAGAAGTTCACAGCGCCCAGCAGCGTCTCCCCATTCTTGCACAACAACTTCTGTGTCTCTGCATTGTAGCCAAATTCCTCCTAAGAGGGAGAAGGGAGGCACAGGCCTTGAGTAACAGTCCTTACCTGACTGGAGTTGTACAGCCCTTTCTTTCCCTCCTTCCCAAAGAGGAAACAGCCATCAGAAATAAAACCAAAGACTGCCTCTAGCAAGGCTCTCTTAGCCAGAAAGTCAGTCACCCTGGGGATGCCCGGGGTAGGAATATGGAGGGTAGGGGTTCTCAGGTAAGTTTTCAAGACAGGGATTGGGAAAGCTAGTGCAGCAGGCAGGGGAGGGACTCTGATTAGGCCAAGCACCAAGGGCATTCTTGATGATATGGAGAAGGGTTACTTGTGAGGCACCTAGTATGCCCTCTCCCCCAACCCCTCCAACCTCTGGATCTCCGTACAAACCCTTAGGCTGCCTCCATAGGTGAGTGCTGCTGGGGGCAGGACTGGGCACACCCCAGAGGGGTTCTCCCTGGGGGCTGCAGGAGGGAGGGAGGGATGGAGGGTGAGGAGTGACTGCCTGGAAGGGCCAGGGCCCAGTACCCCCACCCTCTTTGTCCTGGCTGAGGCACCTGAAGCTCTGGGGACTTCTGGCTGAGGTCAGCAAAGGCATCACCTAGTGCATGCTGGGTCTGCAGCAGGCTGTAGAGGTGGGCTGTCAGTGCCCGGCCCAGCTGCAGGACACTTTCATACTTGCGCTTCGTCTCACGCAGCAATTCAATCTGCAGCTCTAGCTCCAGATCCACAGTCCGGGAGCCTCGGCCAAATCGCTCTGATAACAGCTGCTTTGTGCACTGATTGAGAAGAGGAGTGGGGCAGGAGGTCAGAGACCTAAACTCTGACCCCCTGCACTCCCCACCACCTGCTCCCCCAACAAGCACCTACTCCAACATCCTCATTCTCCTAGTCTCAGAGATAGATGGTATATTGGAGTCTAGGGAAAAGGGAGTTTGGGAGAAGAAAGAGGTGCTTGATCCCACCTTATATGTGTTGATGCCCCATTTCTTGACGATGTCAAACTTTTCTCCAGCGATGCCCCGGGCCACCTCATCACCAGGGCCAGCAGGTGTGGTGCTGTGAGACGGATGGCGGCCAGACCCTAAAGGACCAAGTTCTCTGACACTAGTTTCTCTCAGATACAACCAGACACCTCTGTGGCCCACTCTCCCAGCACATGAAAATGACTTCTCTGAAGGAGAATCTAGACAATTCTCCTGCTCACTAAGGGGAACTAGGACCTGTGTCCTGAGAACCAAATCAACCCAAATATGTATTTGGCATCCACGGGGTAGGGTATGGCTGTTGCTGGTGTACAAGAGTACAGGACATAGAAGAAAATGAGTTTGGGGTTGGCAAAGTCAAGAATGGTGGGTCCTGAAAACAGGAAACCTGGTTGATATTTTCATGTAGAATTCTCATCAGTAAAAGAACCTAAAATAAAACTCTGAGAAGTCTCACAAAGTTCCAAGTCAGTCCTAAGCTCCAGAGCTCCTATGAATAAGTTTTGACTTGGCTCCGGTAAAAAGAGACACCTTAGGAACTAAATGGGAAGCAGAGGAACAACCCTGGGAGGGGGTCTAGGGCTGAACAGTCCAGGGGGTTCACACTAGCAGAAGTCCTCAAGATTTTTAGACTCGATCCAAGCTTTCTTAGATATGTCATATGCACCTCCAAACCACCCCCATCCCCCTCCCCTCAAGTCTCCTCATCATTCATACCTGTGGGAATGAGTCCATCACCAGAGCCCCCATAGCCACCAGACACAATGCTAGTTTCATTGAGGTTGGGTCCTGACACCATCACCTGCTGGAGGTCCTACAGATCAAAGGAGGGGGGGAGGGGCACTTCAGAACATAGGGATGGCTGAAACATTTGGGGCTGGGAACAAGCTTAGCTTGAGACAGGACATACGAATGTCTATAAAATGTCTATAATGGAAATTTGTAAAAAGAACAAAGGGGGTTAGATAAGTCAGAAGAAGTTTACTGGGATGGGAGGAAAGAGCTTAGGGTTTATAAATTGGGATTAGTAAAATGAAACAATCAGAAAAATCAAACAGATGTACCTGCTCCAGCCCATCATCTTCAGGAAGCTGCCCGGCTTCGCCATTCCCATGGATGGGGATCTCCATTGTGGCTGCCTTCCCTAGGATCCCGTCTGTCATGGCTAGGGAAAGGACTGGAGTCAAAATCTCTACCCCAGCACACTGCAAAGCCCCCACACAGTTCTGGAAACTGGCCAGTACTCCAGAACAGGGAGGCCTTCCCTGTCTTCCCAGAGGTTGTCCTAGGACTCCAACGTCCCTGGGATCCAGTCACCACTTCTCTCCTTGGGTGTATGTATTTTTCCCTTTCAAAGCACACTATTTCTACACATGCATGCATACCAAAGCCTCAGATGTCTTTCTCCTAACTCCCAAACTCATTTTTAGTAATATTTCATGCATTCAGTCGTTCACCAGGCATTTAGAGAGTGCCTACGATGTGTGATACAGTAGGGGAATGAGAATTCTGCAGTGAGTGCTAGAGATCTGTGCTCTCTTGGAACTTGTCCTACACGGGGTGTTTATCAGGAGACAAACCCCTTTCCTAGGCTCAGGCGCTCACCTGCCACTCCGGAGTGCTCTGCAATCCCTGGCCTTTCACATCCTTTGGTGTTCCTTTCCCCTTCCTTCAGGTGGTCTCCCCTTCCTCCACCTCATGCACCTTCCTCCCCGAGGCCCTCCCCACCAGGCCTTAGTTGAAGCAGGTGGTGCATGTTCCTGGTGTCAGGTAAAAGCCTCCCTTTCCCAAGACACAAGCAATCTCTTCCAAAGTCAGTTATACCTCCCAGGTGTGCGAGGTCCCCCCACCGCACCCCCCCACACCTGGGCATCAGGTGTGTCCTCATCCTTGGCAAGGGCTCAGGGCATCTTGCCCTCAGCACAGGTTCGTGCATTCAACTTCCCTTCGCCCAGGTAAGTCCCTCTCACCTGGGCCAGGCCGCTTTTCCCCTCAGGGCGCCAGGCCCGGACCGCGCGGGGACCTCGGGTTCCAGTTCCCGTCGCGATCCTAGCAGCAGGTCAGGGAATCGGCGGATGTGACGTTCTCTCTGGGCAGAAGAAGCCGGCCACGTCGCAGATAATAAGGGCGGAGATGACGTTGGCAGTTTTAGACAGGTCGATCCTGGAGCCAAGCCCTCAAGCTCTTGGGGAGTGGCTAGAGAATACTTCCGGGGCGGTCCGGAGACACCGGGACGGAAGTGACGTAGGCCATCGCGTCCGGGGCGGGATGGAGCAGCAGCAGCAGCAACAACTGAGAAACGTGAGTAGTCGCCGAACAGCTCTGGGGTCGCTGAGCTGCTTCCCGATGCACAGGTCGCACCCGCAGAGGGGCTGCAGGGCTGCGTCTCCCGGGAAGCTCGGCGGGGCCTGGCACGGATTGGGGCTCCTGGCGCTGATGCCCGGTCCCTTCTCTCTCAGTTGCGAGACTTCTTGTTGGTCTACAATCGGATGACCGAGCTGTGCTTCCAGCGCTGTGTGCCCAGCCTGCACCACCGAGCTCTGGACGCCGAGGAGGTGGGACGGAGGGAGGCTCTCCTCATCCCTGTGGAGTGCTCCACCCGCTTCCCCTCCCTCAGACCCTGGCTTTTGCGTGACCCCACCTCTAGGCCAGGGATGGAGAAGGCCAGAGGGGGCTTGACCCGACATCCTTTGTCCTCTTCTTCCGTGTCTTTGCAGGAGGCCTGTCTGCACAGCTGTGCAGGGAAGCTGATCCATTCCAACCACCGCCTGATGGCGGCCTACGTGCATCTCATGCCCGCCCTGGTCCAGCGCCGCATCGCAGACTACGAGGCTGCCTCGGCCGCGCCAGGGGTTTCTGTAGAACAGTCTAGAGATTCGTCACCGGGCAGCTAGCTGTCTTTGCAGCCAGGAGAGAAGGTGCTTGGATGGACCGTCTGTGGACCTCAGCTTGGCGAAATGTGTGCAGAGATTGAACCTGAAAGCTGGGTACTGTTGCTCCTTTTCCTGGAGCCAATAAACCCGGTTTTTACTACTGGGCAAGGAACTTTTTGTCCACTTTATTGAGACCAGTCCTTCTGTCATTTAGTGCCTATCTGCTGCCGTCCACCCTGGCAGCTGAAAAGTTGCCTGCTGTGTGTGGGACAGTCTCAGCATTTGCAGATGTCTGGCTCAAACAGGGATTGTGGGTACAGATTTAAGGTTAGTAATAGCAACAGGAAATTGGTTTCAAAAGGTGCTCTGGCTGGCTGGCCTTGAGACTAACTTAAATGGCTTATGACTAGTTTTTTCTGGACTACATCTTAGAGTAAAAAGAATTGTGAGGGATCTGAGGCAAGAAAGCAGTGTCAAACAACAAAAGGGGGCGCAGGTACCAACCACCACCACCACTACCACAGGCTTTAGACACTGCTTAAATCAGTGACAGCAGAACTAAGATAAACCTGTAAGAATCCAGGAGTGTTTTCTATCATTTCAGCCATTTCCCTCCTGGTCATTACTACCGTAGTGTTTCCTGTCTTTGTGAAATTAACAGTAAAGCCTTTAAACAAAGGCTGTTTTCTTGTCTTCAGGGGAATCCAGGAGAGGGAAACTATTGCAGTCAGACCTGAGGAAGAGAAACCTAAGGGAGAAGTAGATGGGGGGAGGGGGCAAAATAAAATCTGAGTGACCTCAGATGGTATTTAGTGTTTTCATGATTGTCGGGAATGTCCTGGTTCAGCTTTCCACTCTCTACCACATTGTGTCACTGTCCCTGTTCTGTGATTTCAGCCTCTCCATTTCCTCATTATTGTCCTCCTTTCTATGGGGTTTACATCCATATTCAGGTGTTAAATGGCATAATACTCCACCCTATTTTGTTGCCTCCTTGGCCTCTTTTGCATTGTCCTGCTTTTCTGTGTTCGAACTGCTAGGGAAAAATAGTCATGTAATAGTTAAGGTCTCCAACATCAGCCAAGTCCTCACTACCCAGAGGTGACCTTTTACAGTTTTCTGGTCCATTCCCTCTACCAATCACCATGACAGGTTTTTTTGTTTTGTTTGTTTTGTATTTTATTATTTTTTATGAGTGTACTGTTTATGTGTATGTAAGTGCACCCATGTCATGCAGTGCCCACCAAAGTCAGAAGAAGGCATTGGATCCCCTGGAACTGGAGTTACAGATGGTTGTTAACCTCCATGTGAGTGCTGGGAATTGAACCTGGGTCCTCTGCAAGAGCAGCCAGTGCTCTTAACCACTGAAGCTTCTCTCCAGCCCCTTGGTTTTTATTTTGTGTTTCGAGACAGGGTTGCAGGAAACCCAGGCCTACTTACTATGTACCCAAGGCCAGCCTTGAACTCATGATCTTCCTGCCTCTACCTCCCAAGTGCTATGATACAATGTAGAATGCTTCCCTCTTCCACCCCCTTGCTTTTCCATGACTTTACCCTTAGACTGGGGACTGGGTAGGAAAGAGAAGGTAGCATGTGCTGCCGTGTAGGGCTTCAAGGATAACCACGGGATGCAGGACAAGCAACAGGCATAGCATCAGATCTGTGTTATTGTCCTAGGGATTGAACTTGTGCACGTCAGGCAAGCACTCTAAAAGCATCCCAGGTACCAGAACAGTTACTGTAACCTTCAATTTTATGTGTATGTCCATATTGCCTGCATGTAGGTGCCTGCACCCATGTCATGCAATGCCCGCACAGGACAGAAGAGGCTGTCGGATTCCCTGGAACTGGAGTTACGGACGGTTGTTAGCTGCCATGTGGGTGCTGGGATTCGAACCCGAGTCTTCTGCAAGAACAACCAGTCTTGTTAACCTCTGAGCCATCTCTCTAGCCTCACCTTCACAGTTCTTAATCCAATCCTATACCCTTAACTGTCCCAACAGGTGACAATGTTTCATTTTTCACAAAGAATTAAAATTCCTAAACAGAATCAACCATTCACAAGGCAGATGTTTTCTCCCATCAAGAAGTCAAATTTCTGGGGGTTGGAGAGATGGGTCAGTGGTTAAGAACACTCAGTTTTTGCAGAAGACCTAGGTTTGATTCCCAGCACCCACATGGCAGCTAACAACTGTCTGTAACTACAGTTCCAGGGGATCTGACAGCCTCTTCTGTCTTCTGCAGGCATTACATGACTCGGGTGCACTTACCTACATGCAGGCATAACACTCATACACATAAAATAAAAATAAATATTTTTTTAAAAAGTCTTCATTTTTGAGATGGGGTCAAATATACCCAAGACTGGCCTTGAAATCAGCTAGAAATTATCTTGAACTCCTGATCCTTCTCCTCCCAAGTACTAGGATTAGAGGTGTGAGCCACTGTTCTCTTTCTGTAGGCCATCCTATTTCTTCATGAACAAAAGTAAACATTACCTGTAGTCATCTCCAGCATCCTACCAGTTACTATGTCATGTGCTTCTGCATCCCTCTTGCTTTTCTCTAACTAGAACAAGAATCTCATCTAATGCCAGTGCCTATTGTGCTTTGAAAGCTAGTCTTTTCCTGTCAGAGGGCCTCCAACTTCCTTCTACTCTAGCCAATATCTAACTATGCCGAGGACTTCACTGTTCAAACAAGCCAGTATATCTAATTTCCATTCAGTTACCATTCTGTCTCTACCACTTTACAGCTATATCTCAAATACAGTTGAGTCCAGCCTGCAAATCACTCCATTCCTACCCCTCACCCCGGCACATTCTATTTGAGTTCTATAACTTTTCTCTATTGAAAGTTATTTCTAGGGCTACCTTAGTGATAGCCTTGTCTCTGAATCCATTATTTCCTGGTCCTCTGCCTACTGCACCTCTCAATGGCATTTGATGCTACTTTACACTTTCTTGTTGGCATTCTTCCACTGATGCCTGGGACTCCAGTCCTGGGTTTTACTGCCACCTCTTTAACCTTCAGTCTTCTTAGTGGTCTCGCCCTCTTTGTAGCCTTTTAGAGTTTCTCTAGGTCATGTTTGTCTCCTTAATTTTTCTAGGATGTTTTATGCCCACTTTGAATGATGACTCCTCAGATCTTCAAGGCACTTGACATCTTCACTGTCTCAAAAAACATCCGAAATCTAACATTGTTTCTTAGAAACTTTCCTGCTAGGTCTCGTATTCATGTAGTTTGGAAGCTAGAAACCTAGGGTTCATCCTTTCTGATCCTCTCACTCAGTTGCCAAGTCCTATCCATTCACATGTCTCAGTATGCCTTGCTTCTGAGTCTGCTGTCTTCATCATGATCTTCCAGCTGGGCTGTTAAAATCTCTGCTCCTCCCTACCCTACTTTTGTGTACCCTTTAACCTGTTCTCTGCTTGTCAGCCAGGGAGCAAACTGATGCTTAAAACCAATCTGATTTTAAAAAACTAGGATTTCTTTTTTCAGTGCCTGGGATTGAATCTAGGGCCTTGAACATGCTAGGCAAATGCTCTACCAAAACTCTGGAGTTCTAGTCATGACCTACAAGGTCTTGCATGGTCCAGTTCCTGCGTACCTCCAGCTTTATCTTATCAGTAACTGTCAAATACTATCCACATTCTTCCTTGAGTTGACTTGAACCACACTTCACTTTTCTTGGTCCTGTCACACACTGTTCTAAGGAACTTTGTGCCCATTTACTCCCTTGTTTACAGTGTAGAAGAGAAACCCTTACTTTACATACTCAACTTCTTAATTCAAATGCTGATTCCTTAAAGTACTTTTCTCAGACTTTAGTTCCTATAGTTCTTGATGTATTGAGTATGGTTTTTTTTTTTAGTGATTTGTATTATATACCTCATGAAGACAGGCCCTATCTTTATAACTCACATTGTATTCTCATCAAAATACCTGGCACATAGTTTTCAGCCTCCTCCTAGCTCAATTTACTATTAATATAACCAAAATAAATAAACATAGCCAAGAGAAAGGTCTTTTATCAGAGGAGACAAAAGTGAATTTGCAAGTGTAACCTTTGACCTTTTGTCCATAATTTAAATTCAAGGACTGGAGAGATGGCTCGGCAGTTAAGAACACTGGCTGCTCTTGCAGAGGACCTAGGTTTGGTTCCCAACATCCACATGGCAGTTAACAACCATCCATAACTCCAGTTCCAAGAGTATCTAATGGCAAGTTTGGGGTGTTTGTTTTCCAGACAAATCTCACTGTATTGCCTAGGTTGGACTCCCAAGATATGAACAAATTATCAACTTTCCTAGATAGAGAATTGACAACAGACCAAAGTAAGGATATTACCAAAGTTCAGCTTAGTGAACCAGTGGATTTATTGGGGTTACTTAAAGGAGCAGAAATGACTCAAAGCCGCATCACCAAAGCCCACCCCAGCATGGATGATGGCTCACAAAAGCTGAAATCCTGGAGGGCACTTCACGACTTATAGGCAGCTCAGCAGTTCGTAGAGTACCACTTCTAGGCAGCTCAGCTTGTCTGAGTGTCACCTAGAAGTCAGAGACTGCCTGAAGATTCTGTTTCTTCCTTAGTCTTAAGGAACTTCCCTCCAAGATGAACGATTTTATTTTGGAGGAAGTTGCTACGCAGCACTGCTCCAACCTCTGGAATGCTAGGACTATAGAACCAAGCCACTGCACCCTGTTAGAAATGCTTTTCATCCAAATCCTCTAGATGGTGTCTCCTAACACTAGACAGATAACACTCAGCCCATCCACAGCAGTTTGCTCTGTCCTTAAGTTTCCGCTCAGTTTATAAGCCCCATAATTCTGCATTTTTGAACACTTACCAACCTTTTATGAATACATTAATTGAACTTTAATCAGTCATGATACAGATGACAGAAGCAGCCTCCTAACAACCTTTTGTCTTTTGTTTTAGGTCTGGATCCTGTTTATTAGTTCGAATCTAGCTCAGATGCTTATAACAGCAAGTCAAAAACTGACATTTTTTTTTTAATTTCCTTTTTATATTTTGGTCTTTTTGAGACAGGGTCTCCCTGTAGCCCCAGCTGGCCTGGAACTTACTCTGTAGACCAGTCTGGCATTGATCTCACAAGATCCACTTATTTCTTCCTCCTGAGTGTTGGGATTAAAAGGCATGTGCCACCACGCCTGACTAGATTTTTTTTTAATTTTATTTATTACTTTTAGTGTATTGCCTGCATGTAGGTAAGTGTAGGCAATGCCCACATTGGACAGAAGAGGATGTCGGATCCCCTGGGACTGGAGTTACGGAGAGTTGTTGCGCTGCTATGTAGGTGCTGAGATTTGGACCCAGGTCTTCTGCAAGAACAACCAGTGTTCTTAACTGCTGAGCCATCTCTCCAGCCCGGATTTGTTTATTGTTATGTGTATGAATGTTTTAACAGCATGTATAAATGTATGTATGTATACCACATGCAAGCAGTGCTGCAGAGATCAGAAGAGGGTGTCATCCCCTAGAATTGGAGTTACAGATGGTTGTCAGCTGTCATGTGAATGCTGGGAACTGAACCCAGGTCCTCTGCAATAGCAGCCAGTGCTCTTAACTGATGAGCTATCTCTCCAGCCCCCATATCTGGCAACTCTGAACTCTTGTCTTTGCTTTTCCTGGGTATTCTTCAAGCTCACCTATGTATTCAAATATTCTACTGACATTAAGTTAATTTAAAACCCACAGATAAAGAAGTGAATGAGAAAGATGTAGTGGAAAGAGGAATAATTGAAAGCAGATCTAAATAGTTTGTTCACTTGGTATTAGGAGATCTCCATTTGCTTTTTTATTTGTTCAGATTTTAAAAAATATTTTTATTGATCCTTTGAAAAATTATTACATGTGTGTAATATAGCTTGATCATTTCCACCTCCTGTTTTCTTCCTGACACCTCAGCCCCACCCATATCTCCCAATTTAATGTCATCTTTATAAAATTTTCTAATATGTTCTTTGAAAAAAATTTATAACCCACTGAGTCTGTTTAATACTGCTTTTTGTTTGTTTTTGCAGTTGTACAGGTTTTTTGAGACAATCTCATGTAGCCCAGACTGACTTTGAATGCAATATGCAGTCAAGAATGGCTTCAATGACTGATGTCTCTTGCCTTTACCTCCCAAACGCTGGAATTACAAGTGTACACCACCATGCCCAGCTTATTTTTTTTTATTATTATTTATGTGGCTAGTTTTTTATTTATTTAGTTGTTTGGGACAGGGTCTCATTCTAACCCAGGCTAGGCTAGAATTCATTACGTAGCCCAGGCATGCCTCAGACTCACAGCAGTCTCCTACCTCAGCTTCCAAACAGTGCTGAGATTATAGATAGAAGGCTTGGCACCCAACTCCTAAAGAGAGTTCCTTTTATAGAGGCTTTGTGATGGTTAGCTTTAGTGTCAGCATGGCTAGGCTGCAGTACCCAATTATTTAACACTAAACTAGGAGTTTTTTTGAAAGTACTTTGAAGATATGGCTAACATATTCAAATAGCTATCATTAGTTGACTTTAAACAAAGGAGATACCCTTCATAATGGGGGTCAGCCTCATTCAATCAGTTGAGGTCTTAAGAGGAAAACTGAGGTTTCCTAGAAAAGAGGAAATTCTACCTCAGTGTAGCGATAACATAACTTGTCTGAGCTTCTTGCACGCTGGCTGCTGAACTTCCCTTACAGATGTGGGACTACAGCCTCCTCAGGGAGCCAGCCCCCTCCCCACACACACATCTTCTCTGGAGAACCCCTCTTTACGGGATATGAAGTTACCATCTGAATAAAATGAGAAGAATAGATGGTGAGTTGAGTATTTTATGCACAATAGGAGAATGAACTGATTTTAAAAAATCATAACTAGACTTTTAGGCAGTGTTGAGAGCTCAGCAGGGGTTACCGAACAGAATTCCATTTTTGTCCTTGCCCATCTGGAAAACTTCTGTTTTATGACTTGTGAGTTGGAACTCTTCCCTCCTTTCCTAGAAAGGGTCAGTTGTCCATGCCCTTCTTCATGACCTCACTGAATCTTATGTCTCACTCACCATTATGTCAAAATGAACAACAACCAACCAGTCAATTATATCAAGTATCTATTATCCAGACTCTAATATATATATTCCATTGGATTCTCTTCATTTTCAAAAAATCAAACCTCGGGGACTGGAGAGATGGCTCAGTGGTTAAGAGCACTGGTTGCTCTTGCCAAGGACCTGGGTTCAGTTTCCAGCACCCAAATGGCAGCTAACAACTATCTGTAACTCCAGTTCCAGGGGATTCACCACCATCTTCTGGCCTCTGGGCATTGCATGACTTAGGTGTACTTGGATATATGCAGTCAAAATATACACATAAAAGAAAAATAAATGAAATAAAATGAAGCCTTGTGATGAAGTCAAGATTTCCATTCAGGCAGACTGGCCATAGAACCTATATTACTAATGAATATTCTTTTTTATGTTTTATTTATTTTTATGTGTATGAGTGTTTTGCCTGCATGTATGTAAGTGCACCACATGCATGCATGTGGACACAGAGGCCAGAAGAGGACATCAGATCCCCTGAAACTGGAGTGACAGTTGTTAGCCACCATATGAGTGCTGGGAACCAAAGCCTGGTCCTCTGTAAGAGCATGCAGTACTCTTAATCACTGTGCCATCTCTTCGTAGGACAGATGCTATGCTGTTTGGAGCTTTCAGGGAGAGAAGAATCCCAGTAACAAACCTTCCTGAGACTTGAACTAGCTTTGCCATTCAGTGAGGGATAAACAGGCACGTGGATTACATCTGCTCACAACGCTGTAGGCATTGCTAGTGCCCCAGACCAATCACGCCATTCTTTTCCCAGGCCCTGCAGGGTCCTCTATGGACCGTAAGGTGTGGGGCTAGTGGCCACCTGTTTGGCCGGGCCCCCTAAGCCCCGCCCACCCAGCGCTGGCTCTTCCTCCCAGCTCCCTCTGTCTCGGGCCTCCAGGGTTTTGTAACGGTTCTAACAGCAGGGAGCAGGTGGAGCTGAGTCCTCGCTGCCTTTCTCAGCTCAGGACCAGCACCGAGGCCCGGGAAGGCTCCTCCCCACGCGGGGACCCACCCCTCATCCCGCTCAGCCTCTTCTAGGCTTCCTCACCCCGCCGAGCAGTCCCCCGGCAATCTCCTCGTTTTCCCCGTCAAGATCCTTTGGGACCGTGGGCGAGGACATCAGGGGACAGGGTTTTGGTCTTCTGAGTGACGACCCCATCCGTGTCCCCTGCTGTAGGCGATCCCAGCTCCCACTCTGAAGGTTCCTTTCAGAGACTGGAGTTCTGCAAGGAAGTCCTCCTGTCCACATGATTGCAGCTTTAAAAGATTTCCACACGTCTATATTGAGTGACCGGATCCGAAGTCTAAGTTGATGCACTTCAGCAATGAAACCACACCAGCAGATCTGTGCCCCTTCCCTTGCCTTGCGCTCTGAGCCCGGCAGGCCAGGTGAGGACAGGGCGCTGGGTGGTTGGAAGGGTTCCCTCCTCGGACCTGCACCTGCTTCTAACCAGTCTTTAGCAGTAGGAGGCTCTGCGGGTCCCAGGAAAGGCCCTCTGCTGGTCTGCCTGCGCCTGCAGTTCTATCCGTCTTCCTGCCCTAACCCCACTGACCCAGCCCCGAGCCTGAGCCCTTCCCCACCCCTCTCCTGGGCAGGTGAGAACCAGCAATCCAAAGTCTGGAACTGGCATTTGGATCCTGAGCTGTGGGCAAGATCAGTTCGACAGCAGTTGAATGCCTGCCTCTGCTTTGACATGGAAGAGAGGAAGGAACAGCTGTTTTCTGATATGCCACCATTTGATACACTTGGGGTTGAGTACACTGAATGTGACTGCCACAGCGAGGACCATGCCTGGAGCTGTCCAAAGAAAGCGAAGGAGCTCTTGAGGGAACTGGTTGAATCAGAGGAGCGGGTAGCACTGGAGCTCCTGCTCGCTGAGTTGCAATCTCTGATATCAGCTGTGCTGCAGGATGGCAGCTCTGAGGCTTGGCGCTACCTGTATGCAGTACTGGGTCTGTTGCCTCCATATCGTGAGTTGCTAGGTGGTCACCTTGATTTGCTGCCCTTCCTGGAGCAGCTGTACTGCTGGGCACCCAAGGTCCAATCCCATCTCCAGCTGGACCTGCTAGATGCCATAGACAAGGTTTTTCCCCCAGACAGCTCTTTGTTACATCGTGCCTCCCATGTTGACTGCCATCCCCAGAAGAAGAGGTTCCATCGAGAGTCCCCACGCCCAGCCTGCCCTATTGTGAAGGCCCGGTGGGGTGGGCAACAAGAAAAGGAATTGGACACTTGGCTGCGACCATTGACGCTGCCCGAGCTACAGCATTGCCTGGGTATTGTTGGTGCTGAGGTGGCCCTAGAAGAGACCCAGTGGCTCAATAGCCTCAGTCTCCTGCCCTTGGCATTGGCCACAGACATCCCTGTACAGTATGAAAGCAATGGTGCTGACCATATGGAAGAGGAGCCTGCTGCAGGAAAGTAAGTGGCCATCTCTGGGACTTTGAGTAGAGGAGGGAAAAACTTCACTGAGGTGCTTGCAGTGTCACTGGATGTCTTGAATCAGCTCCATGTGGGTCTTCCGGCTTAGGTCAACCTCAGCAGAGCTGGTATCATCTGCTCCTGTTTTCCTTTTGTTTGCAAAATAAATCCAGTATCTCATGGGGGCTGAAGAGATAGCTCAGAGGTTAAGAGCACTGACTGCTCTTGCAGAGGGCCCGGGTTTGAGTCCCAGCACCCACATGGTGGCTAACAACCATCCCTAACTTCAGATCCAGGGAATCCAATGCCTTCTGACCTCCCTAGGCATTGCATGACACGGGCACACTTACACACATGCAGGAAATACACTCATACACATAAAATAAAAATAAGACATTAAAAAAAAAAACTGGTGTCTTACTGCTAAACCATAGATAGGGACATGCAGAAATTAAAAGAGAAAAGTTGGCCATTGGGAAGCCAGAGCTTGAGACACATTAAAAAAAAAACTGGTGTCTTACTGCTAAACCATAGGGACGTGCAGAAATTAAAAGAGAAAAGTTGGCCATTGGGAAGCCAGAGCTTGAGACAGTACCTTGAGTTTCCAATCTTCTTTCTCAGATGATGCCAGAAGCCTCCTTAGTTCCTTTTCTCATTCACTCATAATCGCTGAACCTCACCTCTGGGCCTATCTTGTTCTGAGTCCTGGTACTAGATATAGATGGGTTACTCCTAGAGAGTGTTTTTCTGAGTGATCATCCCCCACAGGTCTGTATGAGATTTACCAGCTCTGAAGCAGAGTTCAGACCCCTTTTGAGTCTTCTTCCTGCTCTGACAGTATAGTTTTAGCAGTGTGGCACCTTGAGCAATGATCCTTCCTTCCAGCCCACAATCTGACCATCAGAATTCTAGGATTTCAGAACAGCTGCAGAGGACCCTTCTGAGAGTTCCTTGACTTTAGGAACTTTCCCCTAGCTCTGGTCTGATTTTCTAGGGATTTTAAATCTTGTCTATGACACATTTACTGTCTGGGGGGGTAAGGTAGTTTACTCTTTAATCAAGCATGCCTTTCTCAGTTTCTGCTTCCTCAGTTTATGGCTGGATAAGGTTTTTCCTGAATAATCAGAGCCGTAATGGTGGGTAGGTAGACAGGCTTCTGACACTCTGAAGGAAGGTGGCAAATGTCAGCAGTTCAAGTTACAGCAGAATCTTGCTTTTGAAGAGTTATCCCAAGTATAACTTTTCTCTCTTGAGGAACTGTAACAGAAATGGTATTGAGCTAATGTATTAGGAAAGGATCAAATTGTCTTTACTCTTTGACCTGGCAGTAAATCTCTGTGGTCTAGCTAATATGGTTTAGTTTACAAAGTTCTACAAGGCTGGCTCCCAAGGCACTGAATCATTTAATAATCATTATTAGATAACTTTTATGTTATCTAACTTCTCGATGCTGGGGATACAAGAAATGAACCAGATAGACCCAGTCCTTTCCCTTGGAGCATCACAGTTTAGTGAGGGAGATAGATGTTAAGTAACAAATTATTATAAAACAAAAACCTGATGTCTGTTGTCTGTCTGCTACCTTGGCAGCATGGAATTGGGGGTGGAGGGTTAGAGGTAGAGAGAGAGATGTACATCAGAGGAGCATAGATTGGGTATAGATCATATTATCAGCATGTCTTATGGACTAGGGGTGAAAACATTTCAAGGAGGGAGAAGTTGGGAGTACTGAATGCTACTGAGGTTGATGAAAGTCATTTCTGGCAGTTTTGTGGAGAGGAAGCCAAATTATATAGTGGGAGAGGAAATGGACGCCATTTTACCATTCTTTCATGAAGACTGTCTTAAAAAGGGAAGAGATTTTTTATTTTTTTAAGTAAAGAGACATTCACAACCCTTCAGGCAGTGCTTGAGAAGTTGATACCCCATAAATACTTGTAGACTAAATGACTCACTGGGCTGACAAGAAGAGGAAATTAAAATTCACAAGAGAGAACAGTGAAGGATCTAGAGCACACATGAAGAAATTAGCCCTGCAGAGAATAAAGGGCTCTTCTTTCTTCAAACTTAGGAGACAGATACGCATATGGAAAGGGAACTGGAACTGGAGGGTGGGGGGGAGGCAGTTAGTTCATAGCTGAGAACTACAGTTTATCCAGGCAAAGAAGGAAGAGCAGAATGGGACAGAGGCCTTAGTCAGGCTGGGGTCACGTATAACAGCTTGAGGGGCCTGAGAACAGTGGTCCACTTGAGGGCTTGTACTAAGACACCGAAGCAGAATGAGCCCAGAATGAGACTGTCAGTACTCTGCCAAGAGCCATAGACCTGGTTCTGAGATTATGTAAGACCTCACTACAAAGGAAATAGCTTTTATTTTTTGTCAAACTAGGATTGATCCTGGGGCCTCGTGTGTGCTACCCAAGTGCTATCCCACTGAGCCAAGTTTCTAGTCCTATTTGTACTTTTTATTTAGAGTCAGAGTCTTACTAAGTTACCTAGATTGGCCTTGAACTTGCCATCCTTCCACTCAACCTCTTGAATAATTGAGATTACAGATCTGCATCAGACACGGCTAGAAAATGTACTTTTAGTCACAGTTATACCAGTTAAGATGACTTGATCCAATAGCATAGCCTATTACTGATATGGATTCAAGAATGAGATTATACTATTATTCCTTGGGTAACTTATTCTGGTGATTAAAGTTGGGTTAACCAACGATATTAATATTCTGACTGGGTAAGTAAGTCTAAGTTAAACCATTTCTAGTTTGTGTGTGTGCTATACCAAAACTTTTAATCTAGGTTCTGGGTATGGGGAAAATGCATGTAATACCAGTATTTCAGAGGTAGGGGCAGGAAACTGGGTTTGAGGCAGGCCTGGGATGCATAGCAAGTTCAAAGTTATATAATGAGACTTCTTTAAAAAGAATTAGTTCAGGGTCTGGAGAGATGGCTCAGCAGTTAAGAGCACTGGTTGTTCTTGCAGAAGATCCGGGTTTGAATCCCAGCAGTTCCAGGGGATCCGACAACCTCTTCTGTCCTCTGGGGGATTGCATGACACAGGTGCACTTACCTACATGCAGGCAATACACACAAACACATAAAATTAAAAAAAAAGAAAAAGCTCAGGTAATCTGGTTTAGAGTTTCTGTATAATTTTTATAAATAAATTTTAGATAATCAACATTTATTTTTATGATTATATTTTATTTTTATAAGTGTTTTGATTGCCTGTTTGTATACTGGTATGTATGTAGTGCCCTCCAAGGCCAAAAGGGGGTGACAGAACTGTCATGTGGGTGCTGAGAATTGACCCCATGTCCTCTGGAAAAACAAGTACTCTTAACCCCTGAGCCACCTCTCCAGCCCCAATTGGCATCTTTATAATCTCAGACATATATTTATTATTTATTTGTGTTGAGAACATCCAAAACACTCTGTACCAGCTATTTAGAAATATTATAGAAGGGGAAGAAGATGAGGGTATTGGTGCAGGCCTGAGAAAGTCAGGGGCTACACCATTTGATTTTGGCTGGAAAGGGAAGGAGAGGAGGCTAGAAGCTGGGTAATGACAAGAGAAGAGCAAGATTGACAGGCACAGAGATCATGCAGGACTGGAGGTTTGGAAAACAAGTATAAAGAGTTCCAAGACTGTGGGCTTACAGAGTGATGAGCTTGGAAAATAAGGTCTTCCCATTATTTATACACACTACATATAACACTGACTGTACCAATCACAATCAATCTAGTGAGATTATTCATTTATCAGAAAAGGAGGTTTTTTGTGCACTTGTATCAGTTAGTTAATACAGATGACTGACTTGCACAGTGGACTGCATTTGCTCAGTGTGTGACATCTTTGAGAATAGATTAGACAGGCTCTGACAATGCTGCCTCTGTCCCCTCAGACACTTGATCTAGCTCCTGCTTTTACTGGCCAGTAGTGGCAAGCCCCAGCTCTAGGTACCTGACCTCTGCCGTTTCCCTCGGAATTTTGTTGTCATGCAGGTCTCAGCTTGGCTCTGAAGCTCCTGATGAGAAGGACTTCAAGAAGAGAAGCTATGACTTCTTATCTGAGACTTCCATCCTAAGCAGCCAGGTGAAGTCCATTCTGAAAGCAGAGAAGTCTGTGAAGAAGGTCCACTTCTTCTATCTCAATGTGGCTCCTGATCGGCACTTTAGGTAAGAGCCTGTATCCATAGCTCTTCTGCCCCTCTTCTTCCTGATTTCCTCCAATGCTATCTTCCCCCTTTTCTTTCTCCCCGTTGTTCTAGATTCATCTGTGTTGCTGACCAAAAGCAACTTGGGGAGGAAAGGGTTTATTTGACTTACATGTTTAGGTCACAATCTATTCACTGAAGGAAGTCAGGGCAGGTACTTAAGCAGGAACTCTAAGCAAAGCCATGGTGGAATGCTGCTTGCTGGTTCTATATAGCCAAGACCTACCTGCCTACAAATGGTGTCACCCACAGTGGGCTGGGCCCTCCTGTATCAATTACCAATCAAGAACCTCCCCTACACACGTGCCCACAAACCACTCTGATCTAGGAAATTCCTCACTTGAGGATTCTCCTCTCAGATGACTCTTGGTCATTTCACGTTAACGATCAAGACTAACCAAGATGCCCATGTTCATTCTCCTCTCCTGCTCCTTGTCCACATAACCCCCCTCCTACCTCCTAGTCTCCTTCCTTCTTCCCTTCTCAGCCTCCTCTTCATTTTCCACCTCCTCTTTGCTCTCACAGCCTTTTGTCTGAATAGTGCTTTTCTTTTTGCTTTCTTTTTAGCACAAGGAAAACATTTCTTCATGGCCTCATAAGCAAATTTAATGATGACCTCTTCTAACCCCAGTGCAAGACTTGCATGTTTAAATCTCAGTGTCAGGGAAACTTGATCTTACGAAAACATCCTGTTCTGAGACTGAAAGTAAATCTACTGTCATTTAACTTCTGTATCTTGATCCTTTTTTAAAAATCTCTGAGACTATAAAAATAAGCATCCTTATTCTACATTAGTTGCATTCATTTACTGTCTCCCATGAGATCCAAATCTTATTGTTTTTTTCATGTGCTTGAATGGTCACACAAATGCTAGGCAAGTGCTCTGCCATGGAGCCATGGCCCCAGCCCTAGTTATCCTCTCTATCCTTCCCTCATCCACATCCTTCACAGGTTCTGGTAGCCACTATTAAGAGTTCAACACAGCTGAAATTTCAGTGCATCTTACAGACCGATAAAGCTTACAGTGGAAGTCTTTTTAATCTTAGCTTTTCATGAAATGGTGTTGCAGCTTACACAGGATGATGCCTTAAATTTTATGAGATATATAAAAACTGAAGACACAAACCCAGAAGAGGCCAATGGGTGCGATGCCATTTTGTCTCCTCATCTGTCTTTGGCTTAAATTTCTTAATATGTGTTCCACTTGTTTTAGTTTGAATATTATTCTGCTCTCTTTACCCTCTTCCTACGTTCTTCGGCTTCCTTCCTACCTTCTTTTTCTCTTCTTCATCCTTCTCTGGTCCTTCTATGAAATGTGCACAAGTTACTTTAGTTCCCATTGATTAGAGGTTTTTGTTTTGTTTTGTTTTGTTTTACTTTTAAACAGGCCTTACAACCTGATAGTGGTTCCACCAAATAAGGTGAATCCTGAACACTATGTCTTTTCTCCCTTTGGGATCCTGCATGTACATCCTGCGGAGGGCAGTGAGACCATGTCGCTGGGCACCTGGCACCGCCACTCTGTTCTCTGGCAGGAGCTCCAGTCCATTCCCTTCTTTAAGTATTGCCTCTTACGAAAGGCCTTGACCTGGTAGGTGATGGTGGGCTTGGGATTTGGTGGGGAAATGGGCGAGAGAAATAGCAAATTGTCCCTCACCTCTCACCGGTAGCTGGAAGAAGAATGCGAAGTTGTACGGGCTGCTTCGGATACAGACTTTCTTGATGAATCATCTGCTCTTGGTTGTGCCTCACTTTGGAGCAGGGCTGCTCCATATTAGCAGGTGAAGTATCAAAAACACAACTGCCATGGATTTCAATTTTATCTTGAACATTGGGGGTGGTGAAACATGCTTGTAATCCCAGCACTCAGAAGGCTGAGGCAAGAGGATCACAAGTTTGAAGCTGGCCTAGGGTACATGGGGGGTCCTGTCCCATTTTCTTTTCTGCTTTTGTTTTTTGGTGTGTTTGTGTGTGTTGCAGTGCTGGTGACTGAGCCTAGGGCCTTGAACATATTAGGCAGGTGCTTTACCCGTGAGCTCCATCTCTAGCCTTTAAAACTCTGTATCAATAATAACAAAAAATTATTTTGACAAAAGTAAATGATATATCCATTTATAAAAATTTAAAATACAAAAACGGGAAAAAGACCTCTCTAATCTCACCACCCACAAATAACCACCACAAGCATTTTATCTCATATCCTTGTCATCTTCTATCATATATACAACATATGATCATATGTTACATATTGTTATCTACCAGTTTTTAAATGAATTACATATTCTGGACATACCACCATGTAATTACATGTTCTATATCAACTTATCCTACATAAAACACAAGTATCAAGTATGTGGGTCAAACTCAGGTGTCTGAATCCATAAATTCTTTAATTCCCACCCTACACACACACTTAAAACTTATTAATCCTATTTTAGCACTGCCTTGCCTTTCTTCATGATGTTTTAGTCATCTTGTTCCCAGGTGTATTCTGTGATATGAGTTACAAACTCAAATGCCAAGTAGCCTAAGCAGAATATGCTGCAAGAATACAATGATTAGGTGTGAGACATTAGGGATCATGGGAACTGCAGTCTGGAGATAGCATCTGAAGAAGACAGTCACTACTCAGTTCCACCTAACTGGCATTTTGAGACATTTAGGTCCAATGTGATCAGATTACCTTATTTTTTAGGATTTCTTGGAAATCTATATTTTGTGGTAATTAAAATAAATGAAAGCCGGGCGTGGTGGTGCATGCCTTTAATCCCAGCACTTGGGAGGTAGAGGCAGGCGGATCTTTGTGAGTTCGAGGCCAGCCTGGTCTACATAGTGAGTTCCAGGAGTAGAGTTCCAAGACAGCTGGGGCTACAAGGAGACCCTGTCTCAAAAAAGACAAAAAAAATTTAAATTACATTCATTCATTTGTTAGTTTTGTGTATACATGGTCAGAGGACAACTTGTGGGAGTTGATTCTCTCCTTCTACCCTGTGGGACCTGGGGATCAAACTTAGATCAGCAGGTTTGGTGGCAAATATTACCTGCTGAGCAATCTCACTGGTCCTATAAAAATTTCTTAATTTTAGCTATTTGGCTCAAATTTTAGTTAAAATACTGTACTAGCCAACTCTTAGCAGTACACATTGGAAAACTTTTCAGTCTGAAGTTGATACAGTGATTACTAGTTTGAACCTCTTCTTTAAGTACTTAAGTACCTGCCTAGTCAATCATGAGGTAATTATTTGTTTTGTTTTTCTGGGGTTTTGTTACTGTTTTTGGTTTTGGTTTAGGGTGAGTTTTTTTTTTTTTAGACTAGGTCTCATGTACCCCTCAGGCTGACCTCTAACTTGGTATGTCAGTTCATTTTGATCCTCCTGCCTTAGCTTCCCAAGAAATAGAATTACAGCTATATGCCATCATGTCTGGTGATGGTGTAATAAAATGCATAAGCATTTGGGAGGATGGATAGAGTTAAATCTAGATTCCCAAGCTAGCAAAGGACTTTACTCTTTGTAACCTTGAGTTACTGCTCTGGAAATTAAGACAAAGACATCAGGTACACGGTGCTCATGGGGATTGAATGAGGCTCCATATTCAGTACAGAATAAATTACACTCATATATCCATCCTCATCATGGTTATCCTATCTACTTTCCAGGGATTTTTCATAGTTTTCAAGGAAGTCTAAGACACAATGGAGTTCTCTGGGGGAAACAGGGGAGTTGAAAAGCAGGAGCTGACTTCCCCAGGGATAGTCAGCTCTAGATAATTTATACTTTAATTGCCTTTGATCCTAAAGCTTACCTGTCAACTTAGATGTTTTAGGGCCTTCAGTTTCCCTTATTCCAAGAAAGAAGTCTCTTTGTCTCTTCAGATCTTGGGATTTATTTGGACCTTTTCTTGGAGAAGGGTCACTAGGTATGAATATTTGTACATTCCACAAGCCTTTTCCAAATCATTCCCTAGCTAACAACTTTCTGGTCTTGAACTCAACTCAAGACCTCTCAAGAGGAAGCTGTCACTGTTGATCACTGGGAATATTAGTCTTTGTAAACATTTGCTCAGTCTGGGTTGAGCTGGGCTGGGAAGAGTTCAAAGGTGTTGAAGGAGAGAGGGCTGAGATACCAGCTCTAACTAGCTTATTCCTTGATTCTAGGCTCCTACAGGAGCTACACTCTGTGTCCTGGCTACCCAAGGAGCCAGATCAGACCTATGAACTGCTGGATCTGCAGAAGGCTCTAGCCAAAGAGAATCACAAGGCTCTGCAGCTACTCTGTCGCTTTCTGAATCTCTGTACATCCATTCTCCAACTGGTAAGAGGCTCTACTGTAAGCCCGTTCTCCAATCTGAGATCCCCAGACGTTTCAAACGTCTCTGGGATCCGTTGTGACCTGGATTCTGCTGTTGGATTAGATCCGTCATCCTGCCCAGCAACAGTAGTTTCTATACTGGATAGGTGGATAACAAGTGAGCAGAGACTGGGACTCAAACTTTCCCTAAGGTTTGGTCTTGTTCTGGGAGCACGAAGGAGAAGAGATTAACAGTGGCAGGTCAGTTGTTTGTGCTAACTTTAGTGAATTGGGGCATTAGGGAATTTAAGAACTGCAATGGAAACTTTCATGCTACTAGGATGATCTTTGAACCTGTGGCAAGCCTCCGTGGCTAGTAGATGCATGCAGTGATGGAGTCTTTCCTAATTATGTCTACTTTGTATCTGAGACCTCCTGTCTAGTGCTCCAGGATGTTCTGGTAGATTCTTGCCTTTTTCCCATGATCTATTATTATGGGGTTTTTTTTGGTCAGGTGTTTAAACAAGGTGCCACTATGGTGGTATTAGGAGATGGAGCCTTTGGGAGGTGATAGGACCAGGAAAGCTTTTCCCACCCAACCTCCTTTGCCTCTTTGCCCTTCCACCACACACCACCTAAGAACATAGTGTTCCTGGCCGGGCATGGTGGTGCATGCCTTTAATCCCACCACCCAGGAGGCAGAGATAGGCAGATCTCTGTGAGTTCAAGGCCAGCCTGGTCTACATAGTGAGTTCTAGGACAGCTGGGGCTTAAAAAAAAAGAACATAGTGTTCCTCTTATCTGGTGAATGGAGCAAAAAGACTCTTCCTAGCTTCCACATTTCTGTTCTTTATAAATTACCTATAGTAGGCATTATGTTAAGCAATAAAAAAATGAGTCATGACAGAGGGTCCCTTCTCAGCAGTAGAGTGGATGAGTCCTACAAGTGTCTAGATAATGATGATGTGCTAGACTGGGGCTGTGAGGTAGAAGCACTAGGTCTTGAGGGTATTGCTAAAGCATGGGAAGACAACACTTTCCCAGTGCTGAGGACATGTTTGCCTAGTGCTCACCTGAGTCCCAGAAACTTGAGGCTTGAGCTCATAGATAGCAGAAATATAATCCACAGACACCAGTCAACTCTAATCAGAAGCTAGTGGAGCATCCCAAGGAACAACAGAGCAGTGAGGACCACACGTCCATCTGGCCATACAAAGCTTTCTTGTATCTCTCTTATGTTCCTCAACAAGATAAGTCAAAAGACTTGACAACTGTCATTAGCCTTTGTCAGTTTAGAATCTTCCTAGATCTGAAAAGAACCCACAAAGAGGCTCCCAGCCCTGCCACCTTCTTCCCCTCAATTGAAAGCCTATGTCAGTGTCCAGAAATAGCCTATATTAGAATATAAAGTAATGTTATGTTGCTCAGCATGGCTAATGGTTAGAGCCCGTATCCTGGAATTATTGCTGAGCTTTATTCATATAGTCGTCATCTCTTCTGTGCACTGTGACCCTCCCATATACTATTTTCTGTTTGAATTCCATCCTGAGGGCTTTATCTTTTTTTTTTTTTGAGGCATGGTTTCATTATAACCCAGGATGGTCTTCAGCTCCCAATCCTCTTGCCTTCTCCTCCCAAATGTGGGAATTACAAGCATGTGCCACCAAGGACAGCTGCCTCATCCTGTGACCTTCTGTATCAGTTATTTTTCTGTTGCTGTGATAAGACACCTTGACTAAGGAAACTTATAGAAAGAAGAGTTTATTTGAGCTTATGGTTCCAAAGGGATTAGAGTCCATCATGATGGGCAGGCATGGTGGCAGTAGGTGGCCAGTGCAGAAAGCAGAGCCCTCACATCTTCAAGCAGGTCCAGGAAGCAGAGAGTAATTAGAAATCTGCCAAGGCCTAAGAACTCTCAAAGCCCTCCCCCAACGACACCCCCATTCCTCCAGCATGGCCATACCTCAAAGCTTCCCAAAACTGCCACCAATTGGAGACAAAATGTCCAAATAGTTGGAGCCTATGGGGGACATTTTCATTCAACCCACCACACCTTTCAATAGGTAGACTGGGCCTATCACATTAGCACATGTGTCCTCTTAATATATAGCTTCTATTTTGTGTCTTCTCTGGTCACTTATAAATTTGTGGAGCCCTCCATATGCATATCTAGCTTCTAGGCTCCAGACACCAAGACCGTATTGTTTGTACAGACCAGCGAGTGTCTAGACAGTTGACTCCCCACTCTTCCATCTCCAATGAGTATCTCCCTTTCCATCCTGAAAGGTTCACGAGGACACATACCAAATGCAACAGGGCCTGCAGGAACGAGTACAAAACTGGAACAGGATCAGGAAGGGCCAAGGCTCTATATACCTCCAGAGGGTACTTGGCAGGCAGCTGGAGAAAAAGCTGAAGCAGGCAGAAATCTGGTTGCTGAAGCTGGGAAAGTTTGCCCGCCTGGTGGAGTACATGATTTGTCAGAACGTTGTTTCCATCTTGGAAGATGAAATAACCTCTTTTGTAGCCAACATTTTGCAAGTGAGGTGGTGGGTAGAGGTGGGAAGGTGGTCAGACTGCAGACAGGGTGGGATGAGGTATACTTGTACCTGGCCCTACAATCTCTCCTGATCCTTCTTTCACAGGCCCCACGGCAAAACCCTCTTCTCTTATCACAGCTAGTCTTTGATGAAAATAGTCATCTGTCTCCTGTGCCCTGTGTTGAAAATGTAATCCAGACATTCACCAAGAGCCTGCAGTCTATCAAGACCTCTGCCCTGAAGGTTTCTGGAGTGGGCAGGGGGCTGGTTGTGGAATTCCTAGTTCCCATCCTCTGTGGAATCAGAAGTTCTCAGTCTGGCTAGAGCTTCACTGTTTCTCTATTTCTATTCCTTCTTTGTATCCTGGCATGAAGGTAATACAGTCTGTAGACCTGAGGACCACCAGAGATCCCGTGTATTCTGAAGGTATTTAAGGAGGCAGAGGCAGGGGATAGGAAGTCTGGAAGGAGGGGGAAATTGTATGGGAAGTGGACAGGAGGTTCAGCCTGTAAATACCAGGCCTTGGGTATAGATGGAGCAGCTCTAACCTGTGTATTATGCATGTGTGTTGGGAGAAAGGAGAGTCCAGAGGGGGCTTTTGTTCACTAATCTATATGCTTGTGTACCTGTGTGTTGTCAAAGGGTGAACAGAGTGTGATACATTGTCTTTCCTCTGGTTCACCCAGTGTCATAGTTGAATTTTATTTACTGTGGAATTTGATTGCTAAATTACTGTGTACTTGGTTGAACACCTCTGATTGCTCAATATTTGCTTTATTTTGAATGACTTTTTTTCATTTATGATGGAATAATTCATTAGTATGATAGAGATATTAACCCTCAAATTTGTTAACTACCAGAAAGTAAATATGTGGCAAAAATCATTAAGAACATAAGATACCTTTTAATTTTCCCATCCAACTGGTATGTTTTCACTAAGATGAATGAAAAAATAAATTTTAGGGAATTTTTGACAAGGAAGAGAAGGTTCTGGAAAGGAGTTTGTTTTTTGTTTTTTTGTTTTGTTTTGTTTTGTTTTTTTAAATAAATCAAACTGGTTGGGCACATATTTTCCAAAAATGAATTTAAGTTCATTGACAAGAAGTATTAGTATTTTACATACTACAGTGTAGGGAAGAGAGGGAAGGCTCTTAAAACAGACACATTAGTTTACTGCATACAGTGGAAATAGCAAACACCTAAATGTAAGGATTGTTTTGAAGATTAGAAGAGGCAATTTGTTTAAATACAGTGCTTAGCACACAAGAGTTCATGTTACAGATCAGGACTCCATTTCATTACTATGGAAGACATGGACGAGTCAGACAATTCATAGTAGCTTTTCTTTATATATTGTAATACCGTCTTTTAAATTGTTAGAAAATGGAAAAATTCTTAAATTTTTCTTCTAAATTTTAGTGTTGGTGCAAATACTCACCTAAAATATCTTGGGTCTTGTCCCTTCCACTTGTAGAAGAGCAGCACAGGACTGATTGTTTAGGGGAGAAATGTCATGATGTTTGTCTGTTGCTTGAAGGAAAAACAGAGCAATGTGGCAAAATGTCAACTGCTGAATTTAAGTAGGTTGATGAGGGAATTCATATTATCATTCTTTAAACTTTTCTGCAAGGTTTGAAGAAAAGAGATCTCAGGGGCTGGAGAGATTGCTCCGTGGTTAAGAGCATTGACTGCTCTTGCAGACACCCTCTTCTGACCTCCCTGGGCATTGCATGACATGGGTGCACCTACCTACATATAAAATACAAAAAATACACATAAAAAAAAGAGAAAAAAGATCTGGAAGAGCAGATTAATGTGATGGAATCAGAGCCAGAGTTCTAGGATTTGGGGGCGGGGAGCTGTTTGGTTGGTTTGGTTTTTTGAGACAGAGTCTCCCTATAGAGCTGCCTAGAACTTGCTATGTAGACCAAGCTGACCCTGATTTCATAGAGATCCTTCTGTCTCTGCCTTCTGAGTACTGGGACTAAGGGCATGTACTACTACACCCAGCTAGAGCCAAAGTTCTGACTAAAATGTTCCCTAAATCCTTTATGAAAAATGAAGTAGTTTTCAATAAAGCAAATATGTAGTAGATAACCCCCCCCCAGTAGTCTTTAAGACAAACACATCCAGCAGAGAATCTTTACTTAAATCATAAAAAATTTATACAGTACAATTTGGTTTTAACCAAATTGCAATGTAATTTCAAAACCACTACTTACAAAAATATAAAAATCTAAACCCTTTTGCAGTGGAAACACAGTGTCCACTGTATACCATGACTACATCTCAGTCACCACAAGAATACCTCATGTGTCAGTCATAAAATGATGGGGAGCATGTCTTGCAGTCTCAGGCTGTGTTCTCCAACATTTTCCACAGAACAGTTTATAACCAAAAAAGAGTACTAATACTCCCATCTGATGTTCCATAATGCAATGTCTTATCAGAAATCAGAAATTTCCTCTGCCAAAACTGAGAAAATACAATCAGATAATCATTATCCTCAAGTATCAAGTTTACAAATTAGTACTTTAGCATAGCATTCTCGGGGTAACTTTGGTCTGGCAGTATCCTACTAAAATCATATCTTTCTGATCGGGCGTTATATATGAATACGGCATGTGGGCACAAACCTGTGGAGGCCAGAGGTCATTTCACCTTATTTTGCATTTTTAAATTTATTTTATTTTATTTTATTTGTTTTTTTTTTGAGACAGTCTCCCTGTAGCCTCAGCTGGCCTGGAACTTGCTATGTAGACCAGGCTGGCCTGGTCAGAGAGATCCTCCTGCTTCTGTCTCCCTAGTGCTAGGATTAAAGATGTATACCACCACACCTGGTTCCACCTTACATTTGAGACAGTCTTTCACTGAACCTGGTGCTTACCGATTGGCTAGGCTGACTAACCAGAGGCTGCAGGTATCTGCCTGTCTCTGTCATGCCAGCTCTGGGGTTACAGATACATGTGACCTTGGGCAGATTCTGAGGCCAGGCCCTCTTGCTTGGACACTTTACTACTGAGCCATTTCCTTAGCCCCTGCTTTCAATTGTTTTTCCCCCTGCAGTACTGTTGATTGAACCCAGGACCTTGGTCATATAGGTACTCTACCACTGAGCCACATTCCCAGCCCTCTTTTTGGTATCAGTGATAAATCTGTTAAAAGTCTGGCTGGGAACATGGCTTATTCAAGGCGTTAGTTATTTAGGCCTTAGTTGGATTGATATTTTAATGCAACTTCATATCAGCATGTATATATTATGCCAATACATATATTATAAAAATTGAAGCCCTGGGTCCCTCAGAAATAACAGTTAATTTGTGTTTCTTCAATTTAATTCATATCTACCTGGTTTTATGTTATAAGCAAACTTTATTTCACTCTCACCTTGGCAATAAAGTTATCAGTGAGTCTGGTTTTGTTTTGTTTCGCTGGGATGCTCTCTGCACCAGACTGCAGTGAAAACAGACTGGCATTTCATTACTTGTATCCAGACCAGAATTGATCTGGTAGAGCAGCACACTGCACTGCCTGAGCTCCCCTAGACATTTTTTGTTCAACCTTGCCTCTTACTTGGAAGCTCACAGAACATAAAGCTACTAAACCCATTAAAGAAGTAGTAATTCCAACCTTGAAATTAAAAAATCAGAGGGATTGCTGTCTCTGAAACTGCTGCAAATCCTTTTAATGCTACTTCTTTCTGTTCCTCTTTCCAATCCCTCTGAGTCCTGAGACCAGCTCTATCTCCTTTCATTGGACTTTCTGTTCCCTTAAAACAACTGTTTTTAAATGACTCGAACTGTCTACAGCACCAGCTCCATTCTTGACTCTGTATGGTCTTTAAGTTCTGGTATGTGTGACTGATTTAGGTCAAATTTTTAAGACAAGAAACATGACCAAATTAGCCCCTCTTATAGATTGAATCATTCAGCCATAAACCATGGCCAGGGGAGTGGACCACGGCACAAGTTCATTGGTACTTAGGCAGATCCTCTTACAAGGGTGTACGTTACAATCTTGAGCTATACTTGTACCTAGGTGTAAACATCTATTATATGGGACTGAGTGTGTAAGTTGGTTTTGGATTACATAATCGTAACTCAAAACTAGGTAAATGTAAAGTTTTTTTTCATCTTCCCACTCCCAAACTTTTAAATTGTCATTATTGGGGTTCCTGATTACCCCCTTTATGATCTCCATATGGACTTTAAAAGAAAATATACTCAAGCTTTTTTCCTGTAAACACAGACAATATTATTTACATAATTCATTTTACACTGATGGTAAAAATTATACTAGAATTTATCACCAAACTAACTTTATTTGTTCCCTTCTTAAATGTCTTTACTAAATATCCTCACTGTCCTAGTGGCTTCTTGTTCTTAATTTCTTGGTGTATACAGTGTCTTTATCCTTCGGGTTTTCTGCACCTTTCTTGGCACTGGGAGTTACTCTCGGCTCAGGTTCACTAAGACTTAGGCTCCAGTCTTTCCAGATCTCAACACCTAACATCTGAATTTCCAGAGACTCTCTTCTCTTTCTTTAATGATACTACTACTATTAATAATAATAACAATATTAAAATTTAAAAAATGGGGCTGTAGAGATGTCTCAGTGAGTAAAGGCACTTACCACACAACCTCACAACCTGAGTTAGATCCCCTGGACCCACATGACAGAAGGAGAGAACTGACTGCCCCTAGTTGTGCTCTGACTGCCACATACACACCATGGTATGCGTATGCACACACACACACACACACACATTTATTTTAAATAAGAAGACTCTTATTTACGTGTGTGTACGTGTGTGTGTGTGTGTGTGTGTGTGTGTGAGTGTGCATACCCATGCATGTGTGTGCAGAGTCCAGATCTAATATCAGGTGTCTTTTTCTGTCCCTCTTCACCTTATTTATTTTTTTAAAAAAAATTTATGTGTGTAGCTGGGCATGGTGGCACATGCCTTTAATCCCAGCACTCGGGAGGCAGAGGCAGGCAGATCTCTGTGAGTTCAAGGCCAACCTGGTCTACATAGTGAGTTCCAGGCCAGCTGGGACTACAGGGAGACCCTGTCTCAAAAAAGAACCCCCCAAATTTTTTTATGTGTGTAAGCTGGGCATGGTGGTACATGCCTTTAATTCCAGCACTCAGGAGGCAGAGGCAGGTGGATCTCTGTGATCAAAGCCACCCTGGTCTACATAGTGAGTTCCAGGCAAGCTGGGGCTATGGGGAAACCCTGTCTCAAAAAAGACCAAACAAACAAACAAAATTTTCTATGTAGGAGTGTTTTGACTGCATGTATATTAAGTGCACCATATTTGTACAATGCCTACAGAGGCCAGAAGAGGGTGTCAGGTCTCCTGGAACTGGAGTTATGGATGGTTGTTGGCTGCCATGGCTTCTGGGAACTGAACCAAAGTCCTCTGCAAGAGCAACCAGTGCTTTTAACCACTGACCCATCTCAGCAGCCATCCACCTTTTTGTTTTTAGATGAAGTCCCTCGTTGAACCTAGTGCTCACTGATTGACTAGACTGGCTGACTAGTAAGCTCTGGGGATTCTATTTCTGATTCCACAGTGCTGGGGTTGCAGGCCCATGCTGCCATATATTGGCTTTTCATGTGGGTGCTAGGGTTCAAGTCCTCATGTTTACACAGCAAGCACTTTGCCCATCAAGCCATTTCTCAAGCCCAGACTCTGTCCCCTCAAAGTTCATCAAGTACAAATATGTGCTCATCAAGGGATAAAAATTTTAAAATAGTAAATATTACAAAGTACCAGTATTTATGTCTTTTCCTCATTGCATCCTGCATTTAGCTATAGTTAAGAGTGGGGGTGGTAGGAAGCCATAATTTAAGGTTATTGGTGGTTTAAATTTTTTTATTTATTTTTACTTTATGTGTATGAGAGTTATGCCTGCATGCCCCCCCCCGGATATATTTTTAATGTAGAGCTCTTGTGTGTCAGGCTTTCACCTCTGGAACAAATAACTGAAAGAGAGGCTAGAGAGATGGCTCAGCGGTTAAGAGCTCTGGCTGTTCTTACAGATTTCCCTTTGGTTCCCTGTGCCCACATGATGGCTAACACCTGTCCTTAACTCTAATTCCTGGGGATTTGGCAACCTCTTCTAGCCTCCATAGGCACTAAGCCCACACGTGGTGCACTTACATACATGCAGGGCAAAACACTTGTACACATAAAATAAAAAATAAATAAAATCTTTTTTAAAGGGGGAGAAGGCAGGCAAGGTGGCACACACCTTTAATCTCAGCACTCAGGAGGCAGAGGCAGGCAGATCTCTGTGAGTTCAAGGCCAACCTCATCTACATAGTGAGTTCCAGGCCAGCAGGGCTACAGGAAGACCCTGTCTTAAAAGGGGGGAAGGGGTATGCCAAGTAGGGCTGGAGAGATGGCTCAGCAGTTAAAAACACACTGCTCTTCAATAGGATTTGGGTTCCCTTCCCAGAACCCATATGGCAGCTAGCAACCCTCTGTAACTCCAGTTCCTGGGGATCTGATGCCCTCTTCTGGCCTCCATGCACACTGCATGTGTATAGTACACTTACATACATGCAGGCAAAATACTCATATACATAAAATAAAAATTGAAGAGACTTACTTTATCTTACGTATCAGAGAATTTTAGTCCTTGGTTTACTAAGGCCTTGTGGGAGGCAGAGCACCACGGCAGGAGGAGTGTGTGCTCAGGGAGGTTTTTCACTCATGGCAGCCAGGAAGCAAAGCAGCAATAGGAAGATGTTGGGCTAAGGCAGACCCTTTAAAGGGAAGCCCTCAGTGACTCACTTCTTCCAATTACATCTTCAGTTTCACAGTTCTGCCATGTCCCAATAAACTACTCAGATTTTATATCCATGTGTGTATTAAACTGTTCCTTTAATTGTGTTTGAAATCTTTACTGGCAATGATCTCACAGGCCACTCAGAGGTGTGTTTCACTAATCTCATAATTCAATCAACTTGCCAATCAAAATAAACTATCATGGCCTGGGAAAATGGCTCAGTGGTTAAAGTGCTTGCTGTGAAAGACTGAGAACCTGAGTTACAGCACCCATGTAAAAGGCTGAGTGTTGTACCATGCACCTATAATCTCAAAACTGGGGAGGCAGAGACCAGAGGAACTCTAGGGCTTGCAGGCCAGCAAATATAGCCAATCAGTGAATTCTAGCCTCAATGAGAGACCCTGCCTAAAAAGAAAAGATGGAGAGCAATTGAGGGAGACGTCTGACATCAGTCTCTGGCCTCCACATGTATGCACACATCGATACACCTGCATGTTCATGTGCATGCACATACACATGAACGTGTACTCACACAAAAGAATAAAATTTCACACCATTGAATTTTGTGGTGACTGGGAACATTCTGTGTGACAGAAGAATTTTAAAAAACTAGTGTAAATAAAGATTTTGAATGAAGCAACAATAAGAACAGAATTCCCATTTACTGAAATTCGAAGCCTGTAGAAGGAATGGTTTTCTATGTGGGGTGGAAAGATCTGACATGCGAGCTTGGGAGCATTGTGTGGATACAGATGGGGGCCAGGCGATCTGATATGTGAGCCTTGGGAGCACTGTGTGTACAACTGACTTCTGAACACTTTGATTTTTTTATGCCCTCTTTTTTGCAAAAATTTTAGCAAAATTTTAGTAACCAGTTACTAAAATGTTAATGGGTGAAGCCAGGTCCAAACATTATTCCTTAAGACAGATACAGAGGACTGGCGTATTCAGTCAACATCCATCCCTTTCTACCTTCTCTGTTCCACAGAGGTTGGAGTGCATCGAAGTTTATCTCCCAGTCACCTTGCAGTTAGGAGTCTTATGTGACTTAGGATCCACCAAATAGACCTATGTGAGACTTCAATTCAGAATTAAGTTGGACAGAGAGGCAGGACACATCCTACCCACTCTGCAGATGGTGTACAGCAGAGGTCATAGCTCTGTGGTTGATGTGGTAATGACATCCCAGCTTGCGAGTCAGTGCAGACTCCAGGTGATCAATCATTCTGGGGTGTTTTGTTTTTCAGATCTCCTGATTACTCTTTTGAACCCATTTAATAAATTGTTGTAAATCCCCTCCTGCTTATACTAGACAAACTATTCTCAGCACCTGAATTCTAACTAGCACATTCTTTCCATGGGTCTGATGTACTGTGTTAATGATATAGGTGTATGTATAGACTCACTCATGAGCAGGGAATAGGAGTGTGTGTGTGTGTGTGTGTGTGTGTGTGTGTGTGTGTGTGTGTGTGTGTGTGTGTGTGTGTGTGTGTGTGTGTGTGTGTGTGTATGTGTGTGTATTCATGGTAGATAAAAAATTTATGTGGGGGCTCTGGAGGGCACTCATGGATGATTATGTTATGTTTCACTAGAAGATAAAGAACAGGACTCAAATGCGGAACTCCTGATGCCCAAATTTCATGGAAAACCCAGCGATGCTGTTCATCTTTTCTGTGGCCCAAACGTAGGATTTGTGTGGCCCTGGAAGTCTCATGCAATTACTGATGTCCTGGAAGTTCATGGGCACCGACTTCGGGGTCAGTATTTGCCTCCCAATTATGATAAGATGAAGGAAGACTTGGACAGCAGTGCTCTAATCCAGCAGGCACTGACTGCACAACAGGCACTCCTGAAGGTGAGAACAGAGTTTCGAGGCATGGGGTGCTGACCACCAGGTCCCATTCTAGCCACTGCCTCTGCCCACACAACTTACCCTCTCTTAGGACATGCGGCAGGAAGTACAGGAATTCTGCAACAGTCAACAATGGGTAGCAGTCATTTATGAGTTCCTGAAGACCTGGGGGCCTCAGAAACTAGAGAACATGAGAGGCTGTCCCATCAAGGACTATGTGGTGCTGGTGAATCAGCTGAAAGTCTGGGAGGACCAAGTCTCCAAGATGCCTGTGCAGTTGCTGACGAAAGGCAAGTTGCTGCTGCTGAGCTGCCATGATGTACAAGCAGAGCTGGGTGAGTGCTTTCTGTCTCCTCTGTTCCTTCTTTCCTTACACCAGGGCATACAGCAGGGACCTTTGGTATAGGCCCCTCTTTGAACATTTGGAGCCTTCCGGACACCCCAGCTCCCAGCCCCTTCCCTCTGCCATGAAAGGTATAACCACAGGACACACACCCTTTGTTTGGCTCCATTCATTCCCTGTATTCCTTAGGAATCACCTTCCCGTCACTTAGCACTTCTATTCTTACTCTTGAAAGCACCTGCCTGCTTGGCCCTCCTTGCCCCTGTTCTGGAGCAGATGAGTGCATGGGCCTCCTTAGGTTTCTTATGGGCCACTAAAACTTGCAACTCTTCTGGGCAGGGGGTTCGCGAAGGCAAGTCAGGAACAGGGTAGACCTGTGATTGGTCCACTTCTTTCTGGCCTTGTTTTGGGCACACTTTGCTCTGCCACTTCTCCAGAAGTCTGTGTTCTCTTTCCTGTTTGTAAGCTTGATCCTTAGTCTAGGATCAACTCCTCTTCAAAGGAGCAGGTGGAGAGAAAGAAGTATGTTCCGTATGCTTGCTTTGCAACTTAGAGAGTACTGATCTTCAGCTTCTTTGGAACCCACGCATGCTAATGCAGTCATTAAAGGGTGTAGTAAGGAGGATTAAATGCGCTATTATTTGCAGTATTTAACAGCACTGGCTGAAGTAGGCACTTAACTTTTTTATTGCATCCTGTCCTCTCTGTGTGCTTCCATCTTCTTACCAATCGCAGTTTCTCTTCTTACATTCTAACTCTGTGTGCTTCCTAACTCCATGTGCTTCCTCTCTGTGTGCTTCCATCTTCTTACCAGTCACGTTTTGTCTTCTTACATTGTAACTCTGCTCCTTTTCTTCCCAAAGGAATGGCAAGGAATGGCATACTCTGAGTTGGAAACAGGGTCATTATTGACTCCAACTCCTTAAATCTACCACATCCAACTGGAACCTAAGGAGCCCTAAGACTTTATCAGGCCATTGCTCCTTTGCGCCATAGGGTGTCACTGTTGCACTCCTGTCCACTTTCACCTGAGGGTCCCACTGGTACAAAAGCAGTGCCACCACAATGTCCTATTCAGCAAAGATGTTTTTCTAAAGCTTCCTCCGTGTCAGGTTTTATCAGTCTTCACCTCTTGACGCTCAGTTCTCTTGGCTACTTTTTCCATAGTATGCCTCAATTACCCACTTTCCAAACTCTCTAGTCCACTTCTCAGTTTCAGAGATGCTAACCAATGGGCTGATTTGCTTTTCATGTAACATTATATAATACATAAAATAACATATCAGTGCTGGAGAGATGGCTCAGAGATTAAGAGCACTGGCTGCTCTTGCAGAGGACCTGGGTTTGATTCTCAGCACCCACATAGGGACTAACAACCATTCATAACACCAGTTCCAGGAGATCTGACGCCTTTTTCTGACCTCTTGACCTCCAGGGGCATTGCATGACACGGATGCACTTATACACATACAAGCAATACACTACTACACAAAAATAATTAAAAATTAAAAAAATAAAATAATATTATAGATGTAATAATATATGTACATATAATATACTACATGTATATATCTAACTACATATATATATTTATGCTTGTAACCTAAGCTATAATGGAATAAAGCAAAGCTCCCTGAATATGAATCTTTACTCTGGGTACCATTGTAAAATGCTGAATGATACTTAACCTCTCTGAGCCTCAGTTTGCTTATTTATAAAATAATTATACTTACCTCAAAAGGAATGTGTGAGGATAAAATGAGTTTACACATGAAGTACTTGAAATGTTACCGGGCATGTAATAAGCATTCATTACTGAATTACTAGTATGCCATATTTCTATATTGTATTTTGATGTTCTGTCACTATTTAACATCTCTAAACTTAAGAAGTATCTTGTAGCATATTAGAGTTTACATGGCATCATTTTTTTCTTTTTTAGTAGTATATAAAAATAATATCTTTTGTAAATAATGATATTTTAGATTCAATGAAGGGTACCATATGGACATTATTCCTGACTTTTAAAAAGTGTTTTATGCTTTTAAAATCACATTTATCTCCTGTTTGTATGTCTGTGCATATGTGTGTATGTGTGTATGTGCATATGCCTGAGTGCACACATGCACATGTCATGGCATGTGTGTGGATAGCTGAGGACATTTGCAGGAGTCATATCTCTCCCTCCATCATGTGGGTGCTAGGGATCACACGCAGACTGACAGGTTTGGCGGCAAGTGCATTTACATACTGAGCAGTCTTTTGGCCCCCTTCTTTCTGCTCTCTGAAACAGTGAAGTCTTCATATTATCCATGGCAGATTCCAGGATTGTCATCTAACCCTGTATCCATCTGAATTGCTTTTCTCTAATCCATAAACCAAAAAGACAAGCTGGGTATGGTGGCACATGGTAATAAGACCCTGTCTCCAAAAAATAAACAGAAAAAGACAGTGTAAACCTCCTCCTTGGTAGCCATTCTGCTGGAGAGAGACAGTAAGAATCCAAAAGAACACAGATCGCAGTCCTGCTCGTCACAAACATGCTATTCCCAGGCTCCTGCTGCCTCATCCACTTGGAATGTTAGAACTACTTAATGTTGGGGCTGGAGAGTTGGCTCAGCGGTTAAGAGCACTGACTGCTCTTGCAGAGGACCCAGGTTCAAGTCCCAGCACCCACATGGCAGCTACAAACTGTCCTTAACTCCAGTTCCAGGGGAATCTGAAGCCCTCTCTGATGCATTGCACGACACAGGTGCACTCATGTACACGCAGGCAATACACTCATACACATAAAATAAAAATAATAAATTAAATATTTTTAAAAAGAACTACTTAATGCATTCAACTTCAGTACCCTCCTCTGTAAAGGTCGTCCCAAAACCTTCTTGGGGCCCCCTTCCTTTCACTCCTGGATGCTCAAAGAGGATGTATCATACTGTGAGGACCCCTTGTGATTGTTCCTTTAATATGTCTGTCTCTGTTGTCATGTTAGGAGGAAATGTTCATCTTGTCTATCCACTCTTGAATCCTAATTCCGTACTCTCAGCACTCCTTCCTTCCCATGCATCACCCACTACCAGGCTCTCTTGTTTCTAGAATCCAAGCTGAACAGCACGAGAAAGACCATTCTTGAACATGTGCAGAATGAATGCTGGAACCGCAATCAGCAGCTAATGACAGAGCTGACAGATTTCTTGCGTTTCTTTCAAACCATCAACTCAGACATTCATGCCATTTCTCAGTGCTCTCAAAAGGTGAGTTTTCCAGATCCATTCTTCCCAGGATGTCCAGGGCTCACCCCTGCCCAGAGGCTCAGCACACTCTCTTTACCTGTGCTGTACTCCCAATGGGGTCAGATGGTCTTAAACCTTGTTCATATATGTGTTCTGCCCTGGCTGATGCATGGCTCTTAGCTTCCTCACATGAGTAGTAGACCCTGGTGGAATGAGATAGTCTTATTTATGTTCAGAGGTGGGGTTCAGTCAGTCAGTTAGGAATGTCACACTGTCATCATGTCTGCTGGATGAGAACTAGGCTACCACTGAGACCTGGGTCAGAAAGGGATCTGATCCTACGTAATGGTTTAAAGGCTGTAGCAGTATCTGGAGCCCCCAGGCTCCCACTGTAGAAGGCGGGATCGCCTCTTGGGGGTGAGTCTAAAGAGGTGGGCAGGGTTGTGGGGGTGCTGTTCTCATGCTGTAGCCTCTGCAGTTGAATGAAGCCAATGAACAGTACACCCAGCTCGAGGAGCGAGTGGAATATGTCCGATCACTCCATGAACTCCTCCGCAACCACCATGGCCTCTTCAGTGCTGAAAATGAGGTGATGGACATCTCGGTGAGAAAACAATTCAGAGTCACCCATCCCTTCTGGCCTCCTTCCTTTGTGACCGCATCTTCTCACTGCCTCTGATTGCCCCACAGCTTCTGGATATGTGGGAGGCATTTCGGTTTGAGAGAGGTCAGGCCTCAGAGTTCCTGCTCAGCAAGCGATATGCCATTGTGCCCAAGCTGCAGCAGCTGATGGCAGCAGCATTGGCAGAGCTGGAAGGCCTGCTGCAGAAGGCCCTGTCTGCTCCCTTCATGGATCCTTCACAGGAGCAGAGGAGCACTGAGTACCAGCTCATTGCCCTGGAGCATCAGTTCCTGAAAACAGTCAGCCACTTCACTGAACTACATCATGCCTATACCACCTTCACTGGTACTAAGGATCCCTACCTCCTCACCATCACCTGTGATAGACCTTCCAACTAAGATAAGGGTTGGGATTCAGGGTCTTGTGTCCTCTGTGACCCTAAGCAAGCCTTGGGAATCATATACCTCCATTGGTCTCTTTTACAAACAAATATCACAGGTGTTGGGTTTAGTGGATACCGGGAGTTCAGTCTGGTAGGGAAAGCAAACAGCTGCATCTTGCATTAGAATGTGATAGGGTCAGGGTTAAAATGAGACTCTGATGCAGGAGAAATGTGGGCCCTTACTATAAAACTTAGCCTTTGTGTAGCCTTGGTCAAGGTAGTCTTATACCAAGCAGCAGGCTGCAGATAATAGATCTTGATGCAGTAACCACTGCCTCCAGCCAGTGTAGTTTATAGAAAAGGCTGATGAGGGTCTCACTGTCCTATAGAAGGAGACCAGGACAGAGCTACAGGGCTTATCCTTTCTTTACGGCAGTGTAGCCAGGATGGTTCCCTTCCACACCTAACTTTGTGGGCTCTTTTCTCATGTGCAGTCACTTGTGTCCCTTAGATGGGCACACCACGAGTTCCTTCTCAGCCAGCTGTCAACTGTGACCATCTCTGCTTGTGGGCATTCCCAACCTCAGATGCTCTAGAACCATCCAAAATCAAGGAGCTTTTTCTTTGGTAGAGTATTGAGAGCCCTTAGCCCATATTCTAAGTGACATAGAGCACAGATCTTGGCCTTTCCTGTAAGGAGTTGGGATGGTTTGTGAAAAATCAGGATGGAAGACTCAGGCCATGTGGTGTTGGCGTAGGAAAGCCTGTAACACTGACTTCACTTCCTTCTATTCCTAACTCTTCACCTAACCTCCCAATCTTTGTAAAAATAATCTAGTATTTTAGGCCCAGGTGAATTAATAACTAACCTTAACTTTTAATTGCACTTATTGATTTATTTGTGTATATGTGGGCATACGTGTGGAGATCAGAGGACAACTTATGGGAGTCAGTTCTTTCCTTCTACCATGTGAGTTCCAGGGATCAAACTTAGGTTGTCAGCCTTGGCTGCAAGCATTTTTACTTACTGAGCCATCTTGCCAGTCCAACATCCTCCATTTTTAAAACTATGTATCTTCTGTTCCATTCCACACTTCTAACATTTTTTTCTTTTATAGCTATGTGACTATTTTCTCATATGACGTTTACTGACTGTATTTACTTACTATCATTTATTCTGAAACCAGACTTTTCATATCTTCCTCAGATGGCTAAAATATTTCTTTGAGTACTTTATTTTTCTGTAAAGGGAAGTTTGAAGTGTTAAAATGTTTAGGCCCCCTTATATGGTGATAATGACACTAAGTGCCCTTATATCACAGCTTGAATTGAATTTTGAAGTCAAAAGTTTTGGGGGTTTTTTTGTTTCATTTTGTTTTTTCGGTCTTTCTGAGACAATGTCTCCCTGTAGCACCAGCTGGCCTGGAACTCAATATGTAGACCAGGCTGGCCTTGAACTCACAGAGATCCACCTGCCTCTGAGTGTTGGGATTAAAGGCAAGCACTACCACGCCCAGCTTGAAGTCAAAAGTTTTTATCTTTGGGGCTGGAGAGATGGTTCAGTAGTTAAGAGCAGTGTTTGCTCTTTCAGAGGACCTGGGTTCAATTCCCAGCCCCCACATAGTGGCTAACAAACATCTGTAACTCCACAGTTCCAGGGGATCTAACAGTCTCTTCTAACCTCCACAGGATTCCAGGCATGTTTCAGCATGCCTGGCAACCCTTCCAGAATTCTTATATGTATACTGGATTTAATAGATCTTTCCTGCGTTTCTTTTACTTTCTTCCTGATCATTCCTCTGAAGTGGTGCAAATACTCTGCTCCTTGTCCAATTTGCCCCAGATTTGGTATCCACTGATGGCCTAAACCTGATCCCATATTTACTAAGATATTTGCAAAATAATTTTTCCACTCCCTCCATATCTACCAGATGGCTCTTGGCATTTTTCTTGTAAGCAGGAGTCTATATTTCATCCTTATTGATTTATTTGCCTCTTGCACCACTTCAGAGTCACCTCTAGAGACTACTTACTAATAGCAAAGAGAGAAAAAGCAACATCAATTAGTGGAAAAATAGAACAGTTTGACAAGGTGATCAAAATCAACACCACCAGTAGTGTGCCTCCAGACAGGGCACCTAGAGGACACACCACCTAGGCAGTGGTCCAACTAAGAATTGAATGATAGCATTCTGAAGAGGGGAAGCAATGCTACCAGGAACTTTATTAACTGACAGCCTTGAAATTGGACAGTAGAAAATACTCCCGCAATGTAGTAGAATATCTGTGTAGAAACACTTGACTACTTAGGGTAAAGATTTATGTACTTCAGTCTTAACAGTTAGACAGAAAATGCTTGTTTATCAACAATTAGGCATGGTGGCATACATGGATCATGAGTTTGAGGTCATTTTGGACTACATAGTGAGACCTTGTTTCAAAAATACAAGGGTGGTCAGATGGCTTGGTGGGTAAGGACACTTGCCACCAAGCCTCATGACCTGAGTTCAGTCCCCTGGAACCCACATGATAGAAGGAAAGAACCAACTCATGCAAGTTGTCCTCCAACCTCCACGCACACAGGCATGTGCATGCACATACACACATGTACGTACACGCGCGCAGCACACACACACACATGCATGAGCACACACAAAGGCAATAACACTGAGAAAAGTGTTTGTGTATTCATATGTCCATGTACAAACAGAGCTTGTGAACATACGTGATAAGGCAAATGGTTAAGATGCTGATGAAAGGTAAAAATAAACAGGACACAGGTGTTTATTTTTCTGTTTTTTTCTTTCAACTTGAAAACTTTTGAAATCATTTTTGTGTATTTAAAACACTTTAAAAGGCAGTGGAAATTACTGAGTAGCTACTACAGTGTCCACAAAGGGCCATTCAATCCTTAAGTTTATCTTTTCATGTGTTTAGAGCTATCTTTTCTCGCCTTGCAGAAGAGTTTGTGTTTTTTGAGGGAGGGTTGTTGTTTTGTTGTTTTGAGACAGGATCTCACTATGTAGCCTCAACTGGCCTGGAACTCACCTTCCTCTGCTGGGATTAAAGACATGCACCATCACGCCTGGTCCTACTTCTGTAACATCATTTGTCAGAAATGATGTTGACACAAATCTCATCATTCTGTAGGTCTCTAGTTAGATCTTTGAAATTCAGGCAAAGAAAGATCAGAAGACTTTAGATTCACTGTTGTTTTACTCTGATCTGTCAGATCAGAGCTCAGATAGCCTGGTGATTCTCAACCTTGTGAAAATTTCTGAGATCTCCATGATAGAGGATGTTCACCATCTACTGCATAATTCCCTGCATGAGGGTATAACTCGGTTGCTTTTCCTCCCACTGAGGAGAATATACTGGCATTCAAGTGGATGAGACTGTCAATCTTTTTTTTTAAGACTGACAATCTTATAGTCATAACTTTGACTGTAGTCTGATATCTTTTAAGTATATTACAAACCTCGGCACTATAATTATTATTAATTACAAATTATTTGGGGCACATATCTTACAACCAATGGCAAATACTTGGTTAAGAGAGCTAACACAATAGTTTGTGAGATGAAAGAAAGAACAATTGCCATTAGTAAACAGGACAGGAGCATCCCCATTTAGCCCATAGGGTCCATTTACACCTATGTGGGCCAGATCCATTTTCCCATTTATCTCTCTAAACTATCCTTGAAAGTTTATTCACTCATTCTCTTATTCAACACTTGTTTGCTAATGGACACAATATTCTAACTGGAGAAGAAAGACTAAATTATGTAATATATTAGAAAGTGATAAGTAATCTAGAAGAAAATACTACAGGATAAGAGTGGCGAAGTGGCGCGCGCCTTTAATCCCAGCACTAAGGAGAGGAGGTAGTGGCAGGCAGATTTCTGTGAGATTGAGTGCAGTCTGATCTACATAGGCCAGCTGGGGCTACAGGGCAATCGTCTCAAACATACCAAAAAAGGAGGCTGAAGAGATGACTCAGCGGTTAAGAGCACTGACTGCTCTTGCAGAGAACTTGAGTTCCCAGCACACACATAGTAGCTAACAACAGTCTGTAACTCCAGTTCCAGGGGGATCCAACACCTTCTTTTGACCTCCGCAGGCATTGTACAACACGGGTACATCTACACACATGCAGGCAGTACACTTGTACGCATAAAATAAAATATTTTTTATTGAGCTTTTAAAATTTCATACATTTGCCACTCACATCCAGACCCCCTCTCCCATCCATACCTCCCCCTCCCACCAAACCCTATGCACTCTGCCATACATGCTGAGTCCTATTCATTGAGGTGTTTGTACTCAAATGTCCTCCAGTGTAAATGTGTCCACTGGAGTCTAGTCAGCCCATCCAGTGATCGTATGTAAGTCATACTCTCCCTCACCCAGCTGCAACCAGTCTCAAATGGTTCTCAATCTAATGCTGACTCACCACCTGTTGCTCACCTCCCCTTTGGGCCCTTGTTTACTTGAGCTGACATGGGTCCCATGTTGGATGCCACCGCTGCTGCAGGCTCACATGAGCAGGCCTCCATTGGCCTGGAAGCCTCCGCCTCATATGTTCATGAACCAGCCCTGACTCTTACAATTTTTCTGCCTCCTCTTCCACAATGGTCCCTGAGCTGTGGGTGGGTAAGGTTCCATATAGGAGTCCCATCCTATACTCTACAATCTCTTATTGTCCAAAATTTGGCTAGTTGAGGTCTTCTGTGTGTAACAAACTCTGATATACATGGAAGCCTCACTGATGAGAGTTGAGGGGTGCATTAGCCCTCTCTCTACCCCTTATTCAGCTATGTTCCATGAGCCTTGGTTGTAGGAATTCAACTGCAGATGTATCACCTAGTACCAGGCATCTCCTAGGTATATATTCTCCATGCCTGACCAGATGTGCAACTCTGCGGTAGCCTCCATCTGTTGCAAAAAGAAGCTTCTTTGATGAGTGCTGTATGGCATGCTTGTCACTCTAAGGGAGGTCTGTTCTATCTGGCACTGCATTTCCTGTCAAGCAGCTCCCAGGTGTACATATGCATTAATGTTCAGACACTCATAATGTGCATTTCTCATAGGGTTTCTAGGGCATCACATTTCTCTCTAGGTTTCCTAGCCGCACCCCCCCCACCCGAGATTCACTCATCTCTACTCTTTTTTCCCTCCCATCCGGCCTCCCTCCTCCTTCCCTTCCTAGTCACAGTGCCCTCATTATGCCCACTCTCCCCACAATACCTCCTGACTCCTGCCATCTTTCCTCTCCTGACTTCCCTCCCTCCCCCACACCACGGTCCCTTGCCTGTCCCTCCCTCCTCTCTTCCCTGCTGATTACTCACAATTTTTCCATCTCCCTCAGGTAGCATCTGTTCCCTACTATCTCCCTTTCAGGTTGTTTCTTTGCCTTTACCTGGCTCCTGGTGTTACTTCAGAATTTATATATTCACATATAAGGAATCGGTGCTACAATCCACAAATGAGAGAAAACATGTCACTTGCTTTTCTGTGTTTGTGTTACTTCACTTAGTATAACACACTCTAGCTCCATCCATTTACCTGCAAAGTTCATAATTTCATCTTCTCATACTGCTGAGTAGAACTCCATTGAATAGATGTACCACATTTTCATTAACCATTCATCAGTTGAGGGACATTTAGGTTGTTTCCGTTTCTTAGCTATTGTGAAGAGGGCAGCAACAAACATGGATGTACAGGTATCTCTTTAGTACAATGAGTCCTTTGGGTATATGCCAAGGAGTGGTATCACTGAAAATGGTAGGTTCATTTTTAATTTTTTGAGGGTTCTCCACACTGCTTTCCATAGTGGTTGCATGAGTTTGCATTCCCACCAGCAGTGAATGAGTATTCCTCATTCTCACATCCTCTCCAGCATTTGGAGTCTTCCGTTCTCTTGATCTTGGCCAGTCTGACTAGGGTAAGATGAAATCTTAAAGTGGTTTTGATTTGCATTTCTCTAATTACTAAGGATGTTGAGCACTTTTTAAGGTGCTTCTTAGCCATTTTCATTCTTCGCTTGAGAACTCTGTTTAGGTCTATTGCCCATCTTTGTATTGGGTCATTTATCTTCTTTCTTTTTGGAGTTCTTTGTATATTCTGGATCTTAATCCTCTGTCAGATGTGTATCTGGTGAAGATTTTCTCCCACTCAGTGGGTTTCCTCTTCCCCTCCTTAGTTGTTTCTTTTGCTGTACAGAAACTTTGTAATTTAATGAGGTCCCACTTACTGATTGTTGACTTTAGTGCCTGAGCAGCTGATGTCCACTTTAGGAAGTCCTTTCCTATGCCTGTATCTTGAAGGGTGCTGCCTGTGTTGTCTTCTAGCAGTTTCTGAGTTTCAGGTTTTATATTGAGATCTTTGATCCATTTGGAGTTAACTTTTGTGCAGGGCGAAAGATAAGGGTCAAGTTTCATTTTTCTGCAGGTGGAGATCCAGTTTTGCCAGCACCACTTGTTGAAGATGCTATCTTTCCTCCACCGTGTGTGTGTTCTTAGAACCTTTGTCAAATATCAGGTGGCTGAAATTATATGAACTCATGCTTGGGTCTTCTATTGTGTTCTATTGATCTATGTGAATATAAAATATTTTTTTTAAATGACTAAAGCAGTTTTCCATGGGATCAAGTGCATAGGCCTCCTTAAGAATGCAGTTTGTCCAAAGACCTAGAGTTGGAGGTGGTGGTTTGAGCTGTGGTTCTCTGGCAAGAATTTTCCATAAAGAATGAAGTGCAAGTCAAAGACCCTAAGCAGAAGGAAGCATGCCCAGTATATCAGAGCAACAGTAGAGTCCAGTGTGGCTAGAAGTAGTGAGTGAGCTGGAGACTAACAGAAGTTGGGGGAGGGACTTTCCTTCACAGGTATCATGTGTCCCCAGGCATCCTTTTCTGAACCTTACATCATTAAGGGCTCTTAAGTAACCACTCCCCAAATAGCCCAGGTCTCAGCCAGTCCTATCCCACAGGGGAGGAGAGTCCTATGGCCCTGCCCATCTGTGGGACCCGGCCCATTGTGCAGCAGCAGTGCATTTGGCATCTGTATCGAATCATCTCTGAAAATTTCAGCGAGTGGAAGGGCATGGCTTTAGCCAAGGTGCTAACACTCCTCCTTGGAGGGCTTGCCTGGGGTAGAAGACTGTGGGGTGGAGGTGGGAGGGTCTTAAGCTGATAGTGAGCCCTTCTCCAGTTCAATCTTTCTATGGCCCGGGAGAAGACAGATGCCTGGCTGACAGAGGCGGCAAAGCTCAGCACAACCCTTGGGCTGCACAGCCCTGTGCTGCAACACTGCATGCACATGCTGGAGGAGTTTCGAAGCTACCTGCCCTTGCTCACCAAGTTGAGCAGCCTTCATCTGCAGAGCATTAACTGTCAATCCCTCTTGAGAGGTGTGTTTGGTTAGAGACAAGGGAGAGGGAGGGGAAGGATATAGAGTTTGGAGCAATTTCCTACGGCTGCTCCTGGAAATGCCTTCTTTCTTTGCTCTTTCCCATATGCCCTAAACTCATTTTGCCTAGAGGGAACACATTTCCAATCCCCCTCATTATGAGATACGGTCCTGTCTACTGATGGGGAGTGGACACAGCTTGGGTCTCGGCTCTGGGATTTGAGCTGTCCCCAGGACCTTGGTTCTGAGCTGTTGACTTTATGTTGTACTGTTGATTTGTACTACAGTCTGAGCTGGGCTGCACTGAGCTACGCTCTGAGTTCCAGTCTGGGCTTAGGGTAAAAATTACCTCTGGTATATGGGCTTGATTCTGCCATATCTTAGGTGTTGTTCTGACCTGTCTCTTTTATTCCAGTGTTAGGGCTGAGCACCCTCCACAGTACGGAATTTCTCACACTGGGCCAGCTGCTCAATTGTCCACTCCTGGAATTTGCAGATCGAATCAACCAGGTAGGGCCTACAAGAAGGAGAAGAGGTGGTTGGAGCCTAGGACCTGTGATAAAGTCAGTCAAGTCTCAGAAGTCCTTTGAGACATGGGGTCAATGGCAGTTGGCATGTAGGTAAGTGGGAGGTTGAGATTGATGACCTTCTAAAGGTAGGAACAGTCTCCCCCAGTCTGCAGATGAGGATCTGATGGGTAGTTCTAGACTCTGAAAGAATAAAAGATAGAGGAAGTAGGTGACAGCTCCAAAGTGGTGGGCACACAGAATATCAGATGCCCCCAACATTTACCCAGTCCCCAAACACAAATTGACTAGGGTATTGTCTACTGAGTGAGTGCCTGTTCAGTGAAAGCAGTGGCGTGGGGCCACAGTATTAATAGATGTTGCTGCAGATACATCACGAAGGCTGATAGTCCCACTCCTTCTCTGAGATCTCCACTCTCCTGGCCCTTAAGTTCTGCCTCAGACCCAATTCTCAAATCCTAGTTTCAGGGCTATCCTGAGCCATTAGCCAGTTCTGGTTTCTGAGACACCCCTGTTCTAGGTCTGGCAGTATGATAAGGAACGAATTCATGCCCAAGAAACCCTACAGCAGATGCAGCAGTACTGGGAGGCACGCCAGCTGCGCCTGCTCAACTTCATCCTCCATGTACCCTATGAGCCTCCAGCCTCAGAGCGTTCCAAGAAGCAGGTCTTCCGCAGCCCCCAGTGGGAGTTAGTGGATGAGGATAGCGGCACCTTCCTCCTCTCAGGTGAGACTCAGCCTTTGTGACCCAGTGAATACATCCGGCTGGAGGCTCCTTTGACCCACTGATTCCTGTCAAATCTGGCTCCTTTAGTCGGGGTGGAATCCTTATTGAATAGCCTGAGTCATCAGTGTGTTGTGAGACAGCATCTTCCAAGCTCTCCTAATCTCTGTAAGAACACTTCACAAACATCTTCCTCCCCCAACTCAATGCCTGGCTCCTTCAGCTAAGGTCCTTCCCATTCTGGTAGACTAAGAAATTCTTTTTTCTATTATCTATTTTGTGTGGGTGAGGGGAGCACACATGCTATGGTGTGCTTATGGAGTTCAGAGGGTTACCTGCAGATGTCTGCTCTCTCTCTCACCAAGTGGGTTCTAGGGATTGAAATCAGGCCATCAGACTTAGAGGCAAGCACCTTTACCTGTTGAGACATCTTGTTGGCCACCCTAGGAAATTCCCTGTGGTTATTTCTCTTTACTTTTCAATGCCCTGTCCTCTGGATTTTACCCTTCTGATTTTATGCCTTATCCACACAGTCATTCTTTTATTCCTTCCTTCATTAAATTCATAGGCCTTCTTTTTACCAACACAAGGCATTCTGAGACTTACCAGTAACAGCCCTGTCCCTCAAACTTCCAGTCCAGTGGGGAAATGACAATAGCATACATTTAAATGCATGACAGAACACCATACTGAGGACAGTAAGTGAGCAGAGGAGACCAGCTCAAAGGATGGGGATCAGGGAAAATAAGAGAAGTATTCCTTTAGACAGGCCTCATGCTGACTTTGAAGGAGTAAGAGTTTGTCAAACTTGGTGGCAAGAGCATGCGAGACAGGGATGAGACAAGGAATAGCACATAAACAAACATCCAGGAAGGTGTATGGGGAACTGCTAGTACAGCAGAATTCTCTTACCCAGCATAATTGTTATCAAATCTGTGCATCCAAAAGGTTAGTTAAATATGGTAATCATAATATTATTTGTATATGTAGATATGACTTAAGATTTTTATTTTTACTTAAAACATACAATTACAACTACTTGCTAACATTTTGTCCTAAGAACAAGATCTTTTTTATCAGCTCTTCTTTACTAAATTCTTCTAGGGTTTCTATAGAAACAGCAAGTCTTTCCCCACACATATTCCAATAGCTAACACTTGATTAGATTAGATCATTAGAATTATGACATAACTCACATAGATAGGTTTTCAAACATACTCTATCTCTTGGCAAATATACAATTTAACTTATAAGAGCAAAAATACTGGAATCATCTAAAGAATAGGTTGAGATTTATGAGTTTATGGGATTTTGGCTGTTAGTGCCAGTGTGATGGTTTGATGTCTCCCACAGGCTCATGTATTGGGGGGGTTTGATTGACAGCTAATAAACTGATTGGATCCTGAGAGTTTACTCTCTTCATGGGTTCATAATACGATGGCATTATTTGAGGTGGTAGAAAGCAGGAGGTAAGGCCTGGTTGGAGGAAGTCACTGGGGATGTGTCCTTGAGTACAATATCCTGCTCTGGCCCCTTCCTGTTTTCCCTTGTCTCTGCTTCCTGGCCACCATGATGTGAATGGCTGTGTTCCATAGTGCAAAGTCTTGTGGGTCACATTAAGAATATACTCAAGGGGGGCTGAGAGATGATTCAGCAGATAAGAGCACTGGCCTCTAATGTAGAGGACCTGGGTTCAGTTCCCAGCACCAACATGGTAGTTAACAATTCTAGAGGATTTGATGCTCTCTTTTGGCCTCTGATAGCACTGTATACATGGGGTGAACTTAACATACATGCAGGTGAAACACACACACATATAATAAAATTAATAAATTTTTAAAATTTACTCAGTGACATAAATAATGGAGAATTTTTTGTAGGGAAGTAACATGGTCATATTTTACTTTAATGTAGATAATTGGGAGGCAAAGAATGGAGACTGAAAGATCAGTTAGGAAACAACTGGAATGACAAGTAGAAAGTAATAATAGGATGGTAGTGATGAGGAGTGAGAGAAGTAGATGGACTTGGGCTACAGGAGTCCAACTGGACAGAATGTGTAGCTGGTGCACATTTGTCATAGAAAGTAGGATATGTCTTTTCTATTCTAACATGAATTGCCTTTATCATACAAAATCTTTATCCTTATCACATGTCCATGTCCAATATTTGGTTGGGAGAAACTTGTCCATCTATTTTGATGCATAGATTCCTTGTTCACACCCCTCGTATTCAGAACTAATGATTTTCAGTTTTGACTGGTACATACTAAGACTGGATTTATAAGATTCAAAGGACATTCTCTTGACTTTTGACATGAACACAGTTTATGCTCATCCAAAAAGATGGGAAAACCCATATTTGACCTGGTTCCACGCTCTATCAATCTGTTTTTCTTGCTCTCTTCAACTTTTCTGTATCAGCCTTAAATTCCTTTGCCACTAAATGCAATTTAAGGAGCCAGAGAGATGGCTCAAGTGATTAAGAGCACTGGCTGCTCTTCCAGAGGATCCCAGTTTGGTTCTCAGCACTCGCAAAGCAACTAACAATTGTCTGTAACTAGTTCCAGGGGATCTAACACCCTCTTCTGGCCTCTGTGGGCATTGCACACACATTAGTGCACCTACTTACATGCAGGCAAAACTCTCATATACATAAAATTAAAATTAATGATTAATCTAAATCTAAAGTTATTTGAAAAATAGTGAGAGTACAAACTATGGATAGTTTGGTTCTTGGGTCACCTACAGGCATGGCTTCAGATACCTACTTGAATTCAAAGTCCTTATATTACTTTTGTTCCTGCCTGCCTTTCCCTTCTGGCTCTAAGTCACACAAAATACTTGTGTGGTTGATATTTCTCCCACAGGTGCTCCTTTCTCTGTACCAGGCTTCCATTCTCATCAGCTCTGGCTGTATTAATCAAGGACTGAATTTTGTGGTGGCCACACACTATGAAGCTAGTGACTTCACTCACCCAGATGAGCCCAAACTGATGGAACCCTGTGTGTTTAACTCTTATTCCAGGAAGATGTATTGTAGGGTTAGGGCTACTACAAATCCTTAATTCTCCCCTTTAAATTCTGAATGAAATAAGAACAAGGAAATGTATGAAAAAGAAAATACAAATTACTCCCAAGAAACTGTTTTTTTATGTAACATGTTGACAGACACAGTTTAGATCTAGGTTAAGAGTTCACACAACCTCTTTATAGCCTTCCCAAGATCAGTTGAGAATTTGGGGTCTGTGTATATATGGGAAAGAAATCTGGCATACAAGCTCTGAGGTAGCTGTATAGATTATGGTCTACTCTATTGGCCAGTACAGTCCATGAAGATAGAAAGGGCACTGAGGTTTTGTTACCGTCTCCCCTAGAAGGTTATGCTGCTCTGCTTTTTCCTGCCCCATGCCCTGCCCTTGCCTCACATGGGATGATGCCAGCTTAGCTGAACTCTGACAGTTCAGCTTTTTCTTCCTTAGACTACAGCAGCCTACAAGATGCCATCCAGGACAGTCTTCAGGCACTATTTAAGATCCTAGCCATCCAAAAGTCAGGAGAATTGCATAAAATGGCTTTGGAATGGATGACTATCATGTATGGCCTGGGTGAGTACAGACCTCTAGCTGGATGGAGAAATGGGACCTGATGAATTGTCCAGAGGGATGGGCGTTAGACATGGATGTTGGACAGGAGAGGATCTGAAGGAGAGAGTGAGGACCTCCCAGGCTATTTGGCTTAAGGTGACTACTGACTAGTGGGTCAAGGGAGAAGTCAAGTTATGCTGGACCCTTTTGAAGCTAGAACAGTAGAATTTCCCTCAAATATTTTTCTGACTGTGTACACAGGTGCCTTGCTGGAGGTATGGGTGGCTTTCCAGCAGAAATGGATTTTTCTGAATAAAGTTCTGCATGAGATGAAGATCCAGTTTCCTAGTGCTGACCTGGTAGGGAAGGAAGTTAAGGCAGAGTGGGCTGGAATTCCTGAGTATCAGGACTCTAGGGGGGAGGGTAGAGCTGCCATTTCCTTTAATCCTCACTCTCGTCTTTCTTACCACAGAATGCTCGTTTCAAGGTCATGGATGATCAGTATCGAACCCTAATGTGCATCTCTGTAGCTGACCCAATGGTTCTGTCGCTTATAGTACCCAATGCCAAGAGGAGCCCTTACTTCCAAGGCCAGCATCTGCAACAATTACTGCAAGGAGGGTCTGTGGAGCTGGAGGCCATCATCGTGGCTCTGGAGAATGTGTTCTATGGGGTATGTGCCCGCTTCCCCCGCCTTTTCTTCCTCAGTGACAGTGAGCTGGTGGCCCTGCTGGCTGCCCCTCTAGAAACATGCGAGGCCCAGACATGGGCACAGCGCTGCTTTCCTCATATCAAAGCTGTGAACTTCAAGTCCAGCCCAGATGATGAGAAAAATGAGGATGATCAGGAGTCAAGCCCAAGCAGACAGGCTCCAGTGGAAGCACTTGCTGTGCTGGGGGCAGGTGGAGAGCAAGTGAAACTTCAGGGGCCCCTCCCTCTACATCCAGATCTCCCCAAGTGGCTGGCCTCTCTGGAGAAGTGTCTGCGTTTGGTACTGGTGAACATGCTGCAGGGCTGTGTGGCCACCTGCTTTGCTCAGAACCCATCTCTAGTTGAGGAATTTAAGAAACTACCTCAACAAAGACAGGCATCCCTGCCACTACATGTCCAGCACTGGCTAGATTCAGTCCAGGCCTTTCCTTGGCAGTGTATACTAGTGGCAGAGGAGGTAGTATGGCGGGCAGAGATGGAGGAGGTTTTGCTTGAATGGGGGACCCTGGGCATGACCTCCATGCATATACACAAGCTTGAAGTACTGCTGCAATTTATTCGAACTCAGAGGAGCTCCCAGGATGGGCATCCTCTGCCTTCTGTCCGCCAGACCAGCCTACTCAGCACCCTGCTGGTCATGGCAGTGACTCATCGGGATGTAGCACAGCTGTTGGAAAAGCACCAAGTTAGTGGTCTGACAGACTTCCATTGGGCCCGGCAACTTAAGTATCACCTGGGGTCATCTCATTTGACCCCCAAGAGTCCCCTGCAAAGTCTCAAGACTATTGCATCTGCTGAGCCCTCTCTGTCACCAGCTACATGCTGGATAGATGTGCTGGGCCGGTCCTTCCTATACAATTATGAATACTTAGGGCCCAAACTAGGGCCTCTGCCCAGCCTGATGCATGAGCGGCAAGTGTTGGTTCTGTTATTGGCCCTGGAGGAGGTGGCTTGTGGGACCTTACTGGGCCGGGATGGTTTGGGCAAGGCAGAAACAATGAATGGCCTGGCACGGGCCCTGGGCCGCCAGCTGGTAACAATGCCCTGTTTGCCCCAGATAGAGTCCCGGTGTCTGAGCAACTACTTGAATGGTGCCCTTCAGGGTGGGGCCTGGCTGCTGTTGGAGGCAGTTCACCGCTTACCTTCTAGCTTGCTCTCTGCCCTGGGCCAGCGTCTGGCTGAAGTGCACCGTCTTTATGCCCCACTGTATCAGAAAGCTTCCCAAAGCACCAGCACCATAGACCCCACTGATCCCCTGTTCCTTGGCATTGGTTTCTTTGAGAAGCATCATGTGTCCATGCGCCTTGGCTATGGCTGTTTCCTGACAATGCGTGCCCTGAGCCCTGCTGTGCCTGCCAATCTGCACATGCTACTGCGGCCTGTGGCACTGGCACTGCCTGACTTGCAGCGAGTGGCAGAGCTGACCCTGCTGGGTGCAGGGGTGCGGGATGCCTCCCGCATGGCTACTCGCCTATCCAAATTATTCTCCCTAGAGTGTGAGCTGGTGTCTGGGACCCTGCCCTGCCGCTTGCCACTGCTTAAGCAGATCCTAGAAGGCACAATACATATGCTGAATGTGACCAAGGAGGAAGATACGTCCCAGAAGCCCCACAACTCAGCTGTCAAAGAGGAGGCTGCCCTGCTGCATGCCCTGCTTAACTCACCACTATTCAGCATCCTGGATGGGCTCCGCCTACAAAAACTCCAAGAGCTGCTGTGTGGGATTTTCCCTAGTGCTAGCCAAGTACTGGCAGAGCCCATGACCCATAGGCTGATGAGGTCAGTGGTAGTGGAGGAACTCCAGCGGGTAGACCTGCTTCCCACCCCTAACATGTTGATATCTCTGGAGCAGCTCAGTCAGGCCCTAAGCCGGGCCTCTGGCATTTTGCTCCTGGGCCCCGCAGGCAGTGGCAAGACTACTTGTTGGAACAGCTTATTTAAGATTCAGAATCGACTGGCAGCCATGGAACACACCTCAACCAAGGGTTTCCAATCTGTGGAAATTACCCACCTATATCCTAGTGCACTCAGTTCCCAAGAGCTCCTAGGGTGGTTAGAGGGTTCCTCCTGGCACTATGGCATCTTTCCAAAGCTGCTTCGTGCTGCCCCTCAGTGTAAGAGCACAGGTGTAACAGACCAGTCAGAGGAATTGATGGGGATCCAGCAATGGATAGTATGTGATGGGGCCTCTAGTTGTGCATGGCTGGACTCCATCACTTGCCTCCTGTGTGACCCTCCTCAGCTGAGCCTCCCCAATGGTCAACAGATAGCACGACCCCTGAGTACCCTTCTCTTGATGGAGGTTGCAGATGCAGAAGGCATGTCCCCCACAGTGGTAGGCCAGTGTGGTCTAGTCTGGTGTGGTGGGGAGCAGACTTGGCAGTGCATGCTTACAGTTTTGATGACATCCTTGCCCAATGAGTACCACCTACAGCAACGAACAATCGTTGAGCTCAATCGCTTAGCTGAAATTATGGTGCCTGCAGTGCTCAGATTCCTTGCCCACAAGGGTGCCAGTTCTCTGCTACAGGTACATGGGCATCAGGGTGTTTGCCCAGGTGTGGCAGAAATCACCAGCCTGACCCGGATCTTGCGTGGTCTACTTGACCCTCACCTACACCTGTATAAGGAGGAGAAGGCATGTGGCCCAGGTATGAAGACAGAAAGGCTGGTTTGTGAGAGAGATGGGATCCTAAGGGTAGCTGGGTTACACCTGAAGCCAGAAGCATGGATTCTTTGGTGAAGCTGGGCCAGGGAACTTAAAGAAAAAAGGAGCAGTAGTATGACCACCCTCTGTTCTTTCTTTTCTACTTGGGTTCCTATTCTGTCCCCAGTGACCACTGTAGAGGACTTAAGTAGCAGTGATCTTGTGGCCCAAAGCTTCAAGTCTTCAAAAAGCAAGACCCAGGCTGACAGTGACAAAGCGAAGAAAAGGCAGAGGAAACATTTGCTGGCTATCAGCAGCTTTCTTTTTGCTGTAATCTGGGGCTTTGGAGCCCACCTTCCCTCCAGGTACCACAAGGATAGGAGGAAGGAGGTTCAGAGGGACGAGGTAGACTGGCCTGTGGGAATTAAAATGCATGGGACATTACTGTGGGGCTATGGTGGAGTGTGAGCATCACAGATGGAATTGTGACAACTGTCTGACTTTGCCCCGTGTGTCCCACTGAGCAGGCTATGGCCTCTCTTTGATAACTTCATGAGGAATTCTATTAGTTGCCTCTCCAACTACCCCAAGCCACCCTCCTCAGTCTTGGTGTTTGATCTACACGTAAACCCTGAAGATGGGACTCTGGTTCCCTTCACGGGCCAATACTTGAGCAGCCGTGTCAGAGGATCTCTGGGTTCCTTCCACCCCTCTACCCAGGTATGAAGACAGTAGGAAAGTAGTCTGGATTAAGACTTAGAGAGCTATGCTGGGGTGGGGGGGTAGCCTATATTTTGAGGCCTCGCTGAGGTCCACTTGCTTCCATTCTCTGATGTTTTCACAATTATAAGAATACATGGAGTGTTCTTTAAGTTCAGCTTTAAGACAAGTTCCCTAGACCTATATTTTCACCTTGATTGCTGTCCTGTCCTGGAGCTGCCACAGTAAGCCCTACTCCTGTCCTGCAGACTGAGCGGCTCTTGTATGTGGTGGACCTTCTCCTGTCAAATGGACAGCCAGTGCTGCTGGCTGGAGAGGCAGCCACAGGGAAGTCAGCTTTCGTAGAGGTGCTAGTGGAGCCAAATCACTCTTTCATACACAGTCCCATCCACCCTGCCCTCAATTCTGCCCATCTTCGTCACCTGCTGAGCAGAGGGGTCCAAGGCCAAGCACAAGCCAACCCAACTTCTGGCTATCACCAGGACTTGAAATGCTCTCTCCTTTTCCTGATGGAAGATCTGCACCTGGCTGCTTCTGGTGAGAAGCTGGGAAAGGGGAGCAAAGAGAGCTACTGCCGTCTCATGATACTATAAAATGCATAACAACATTCATTGACACAAATATTTGTCTATTGATCAAACTCGTGTACTTAGTTACATCTTCTTTCTACGTATGTTCTCTGAGCAATCCCATCCACTCTCAATGCTTCATTCACCATCTTTGCTTTGACTGGTAATCTCTATCTCTAGTCCAGACATCTCTTCTAAACACTTCCCCTATTTATACAACTGTATCTCTACTGTACCTTCCTGCCTTGCTGTCTCATTGGCACCTCAGATCCAACCCTTAAAATTACTCCTGTGTCCTCTGAGAACAGATACCACCATCCAACCAGTCACTTAAGCCAGAACTCTTTGAAACATTTTTTTACATTTATTTAGTGGGGTGGGGTGGGGTGGAGGTCACAGTTCTTGCAGGAGTTGGTTCTCTGCTTCCACCTTGTGAGTTTCAGGGATCCAACTCAGGTCAGCTGTAGGTGCCATCTTGCAGTCACAATGCCTAGTCTTTGCTTTTGGTTTTGCTTGTTTTCGTGTGTGTTTGTTTTATTTCTGGCCTTAAAGTCACTTTGTAGCCAAGGGTGGCCTTGAACTCCTGATCCTCCCACCTCCATCTCCCAAGTGGCTTAAAGCTGATTTTTAAAAGCATATGTGTGCTATAACTGTGATTTATGTAATGTAAGTGATCTCTCTCTCTCTCTCTCTCTCTCTCTCTCACACACACACACACACACACACACACACACACACACCATCGTGATCTGATGCAGTTTCTAAACATGCCAGCTTCCAAATCTTATATTCATTTTCTTCAGGTAATGAGTAATTGGTCATAGAGGTAGGATCTAGAGGAGAAGAGAGAAGAAATTACTTCATTTTAGGGGATGTTTATTAGGGAGAGCAACTTACTCTGAGGTCACCAAGTGCCAACACATCAGGTGCACACAACTCCTTTAGAACTCTGTGCGCTGGAAGCAGGAATGGGAGGTATGTGGGGACACTTTTATGTGGACTTGCATGTGTTTCCACTATTCATGTTCCACAGATTCAGAGAAGACCTGCCAGCCAGTGTTGGAGACTCTGCGCCAGGCAATGGACGGCACCATCTATGCCCACACCACCTTGGAATTGCAGACACTGCAGCCCACAGTCAGCTTCCTTGCCACTGCTACAGTGCCAGGCTTCTGGGAGCGCCCGCTCTGTCCACGCCTCTTTCGACTCTTCACAGTGCTGGCCCTGGGCAGCATGACCCAGGACACCTTTTTGAGCAGGCATGTCCGTACTATCCAAGCCTGGCTTGAGCGCTTCCCTTCTGTGGAGCGGGAGCACACTCTAGCAAGAGCCTTAGTCCGAGCGTCAGTGGAGGCCTGGGAGGCTGTGTGCAACTGTTTCATGCCTTCGCCCCTCCGCCCACACTACCGTTTCTCCCTACATTCCGTGAGCCACCTTTTGGGAAGTCTTCAACTGCTGCCTACCAGAATGGGCTTACGAGGCTTTTCAGACTCTTCCCATCACCAGGAGTACTTGCGCTGGGCGTCAGGCTTGCGTGGCACTCGCCTGACTATCATGACGTCTATGCGCAGCATGGTGCGCCTTTGGTTGCACGAGGCACAGAGAACTTTTTGTGACCGGCTGGACAGCCCTAGGGAACGCTCCCACTGTGCTAAGCTGCTTTTAGAAGTAGCTCAGAATGTCTTCTGTTGTGCACCAGGGACCCAGTCTTTAGTCAAGGACCACGAGGAGGAAAAAGAGGAGGAGAGGGTACCTGAGGTAGAATCTGAAGGAGAAATAGCCCAGTGGGAGGACTTAAGCAACAGCGACAGTGATTCTGAGCAGGAAGAAGATCCTTATGGCCTGCAGGCCACCACAGGCTCATACATCAGCATCCCAACTCTATCACCATCCATAAGGTCACTAAGCAAGGAGAGCATAGAAAGTGTAAGTTACATGACAGAGCAGGAGGAAGACATAAAGTCTGCTAGTAGTAAGGTACAGTCAGAAACACCAAAGAGTGGAGAGCAGAAGGCACCCCAGATGGACTTGGTCTCACCCTTGTTGATACCAGTGCTATTGATGTATCCCCAGGAAGAGCCTTCAGACCTGGTCTTCAGCCAGGAACTTACAATAGGAGCCAGCTTTGAGACCCCCAACTTATACTTGGAACGACAGTGGGAGAACCTGGAAAAGCAGTTGGCCGCCTCAGCTGTTCAGCTAAAGCTGAACCCCAACCTTGCCCGGTGCCACACGATGGCCCAGCATGTGGTCCGCCTGGTCCGGGTTCTGGCCAGGCCCCAGCAGCATGGCCTGCTGCTTTCAGTGGCTCGGGGTACTGGGCGTCGTACTGCCATCACCCTGGCTTCGAGCATTTGTCAGGTACACTTATTCCATTTGCCGTCTAAATCAAAGGAAGACATTTCCCAGTGTCTCCGAAATACCAGCTGGCGAGCTGGAGTGTTAAACCAGCCAGTGGCTCTCCTAGTGCCTGAAAGTGTGGATGTTATGACCCTTCATCGCCTGGTAGCTCTGGCAACCTCAGGCAGCTTCCCTGACCAGTACACAGAGGCTGATCTGGATAACATTGAAGAGCATCTCCCCAAGGAGAACCTGGTTGTCAAATACACCACTAAGAAGGGAATGGTATTGCATAGGTAAGGCCCTACCTTATCAGCTCTGTTGTCACTCTGTCCTAGCTGAAAAGACCAGAGAATATGTATGGGCTGTTGTGCAAACTCTAAAGATGAGCGCTAAGGGGGTCAGGGTTGGAACTGGGGGTTGGATGGAGAAACACATCAGAAGGAAGATGACAGCTGACTCCATGACCCACAGGTTCTACCAGCAAGTGCGTAACAATCTGCACATGTTCTTCTTGCTTGGTGATCACCAGGCCCAAAAGGAGCTGCCTCCAACCCTTTTCCTGAGGCTCCTTCAACTGACCACTGCCAGTGTTGACCGCTATGAACCCTGGGACCAAGATTCCCTGATAAGGGTTGCCCAGTGCCACTTGGAGAGTGCTCAGAGCCTACCCCTTGATGATGGTAAGCCCTTTTTCACTTATCTTCACCACACATCCCAAGCAGCTTCTAGTGAGTGCTAGTATCTGGGTCGGTCTCACTTTCTTGCTCTGTCACGCTCACTCTTGTCCTCACTGTCACCTTCTGACTCCTTGGCACTTTCTACTATCCTTCCTGAGGTGGGAGAGATCCCTTTCCCTTTCCTTTCCTTTTCCTCTCATAACCCCTGCAAGGCCACAAGGCCAGACCGGTCATATCCCTTGCAGGCTCCCTGAAGTGCCCAGATATCAAGGCTTCAATTCCCACTGTGGCCAAAATCATGGTTCTCATCCATCTTTCGTCTGCCTATTACAATCAGCACCAGTGCCCTGCATTGCCACTTGTTACCCCCAAGACCTTTCTAGACTTCCTGGATATCTTCCTGCTACAGCAGCAGATGATGATCTTGCAGATGAGGGCTAGGGCCCTGCGGTAAGTGGTCCCACTCCCTGCAGTCTATCTCCTTCTGTTCTCTCTAGTCCACTCACTCGTCCTTTGTATTTCCAGCATTCACACTGCCCTGAAGACTCTGAGACTGATGGTTGAGCGGCACAGCACCCGAACCAGCCTGGTCTCTGATTTGGAGCAGCAGCTAAAAGGTTCCCACAAAGTAAGAAGGAGAAGACTGTGAGACATACAGTTGTGTCAAAGCAGAGAACAAAAGGGGACTTGGGAGAATCCAAGAGTGCAACTTAGTTCTTAATTTTTGCAGAGTACCCTTTTCCCCAGGTGATCTCTCTAATCCCTGCTGCCTCTTCCTTCATAACTCAGGGCCCAGATTTCCCCACGACACAGCTAAGACCAGGATCTTCATAAAATGAAAACCCCAAGTGTTTGCCCCTGGTTGCTTCTAATGCCTTGATTCTATACAGTTTGGTTTGCTCCTGAGATCTCCGGATTCCCCTGAGGGATGGGGCAGGACTTACATTATCACAGTCACCTCACTCTTGTCCACTTCAGTGGACTTCACTACAGCTTCTGGCTGGCTCACCTTTTGAAGCCCTCCTCCCCCTTAGCACTTCGTTCTGCATTTCTTTCTTCCAAAAAAGCACCACATGTATAAGGTTGTGGGGAACATGGAGGAAATGTGGTGAGTGATGGAGACAGGGAGAAATACACACTAGAGCAAAGAAACAGAATTGGATTCAAATGGCATACTAGACACCGGTGTCCTAAATTTCTTTGGTTACCCTCATCTACTGGGCATTTCTCAGTGACCAACTTTTTCTCTTTGCTCCACTTGTTCCTCAGCCACCCTGTTTTACTTTAGTGTTACCCCAATACAGTTCTCATGGAATAAGACTTTCTAGCCCAAATTCCAGACTTTTTGCTTTGATGTGCAGAGCCATTCACCTTTGAATAACTAAACCTCTCCTATTTTACTAGAACGGGTAGTGTGGGGCCCAGAACATCTGCTCCAGCTAAATATGCCATTAGATCTGGTTTCACAAACTAAACGGAAGTTTTGTATACGGTGGATTCTGAAATAGATCTTTGTTTTAATTCCCAGTGCATAAGGCTGCAAAAGGTTCAGGCCTAACTACAGAGATGTGAAGTAGTGCCCAGCTCTGAATTAGGTCATCTCCACTTTCTAGTAAGCTTTCGGGCCTTGCAACTCCTCATATCTAGACAGCCTCTTCATGCCAGTGTGCTCAGGACTCTCACCCCATGTTACACAGCTCCAGAAACATGGTTTCCGTAGTAGTCTATGTAAATTGTGTCCCCTGAAGTCCTCGAGGTGCTGGGGCCCTCTTCCTGTCCACATTTTAGGATCACAAGCTTAGACCTCAAGACCCACCTAAACTGCAAAAGGGGGAAAAGAGTTCAAAGGGTACGGGAGTCTCTCATATTTCTCAGAGTCTAGTTTCTTGTCGTGGATCCTAGCTTTTCCTAAGATGATTAATGTCAGGAATTATTGATCTGATTTAGGAGTCCTGCTATTCCTTGATTCATTATATCACACCATAATACAACAAGCCCCAAATATAGACAAGAGACCTTCATAATCTCAGGGGTCATTCAGAGTTAGATCCCTTGGTCATCCACTCGCAGTCCTAATAGTACATCCTTCTTCCCATGTTCCCACCCCAGGAAAGGGCACCACTATCCCCTTAATCATCCAAGGAGTTCCAAATCCCAGAAGTTCCTCCATTTTTCTCTGTCTCTCATATTCAATTTGTTCATTTATTAAAAGCTGTCCCCAACAAATCTAATTGAACTCTGTAAAACTTTTGCCCAGGCACTCAACATTTATGTCTGTGTTTATGTTTACATCTACATTTAGATACATGGGTAGATTGTTAAGTAAATAGATAAAAAGATTTCCTGCTGAGCATGGTGGTACATGCCTGTAGACCCAGCACTCGGGAGGCAGAGGCAGGTGGATCTCTGTGAGTTTGAGGCCAACTTGGTCTACATAGGAAGTTTCAGGTCAGCCTGGGCTGTATAATGAGACCCTGTTTCATAAAAGCAAACAAGGGGCTGGAGAGATGGCTCAGTGGATAAGAACACTGGCTATTCTTACAGAAGACCTGGGTTCGAATCCCAGCACCCACATGGCAGCTAACAACTGTCTTACTCCACTTCCAGGATATCCAATGCCTTCTTCTGTCCTCCGTGGCCACTGCACAACATGGTGCAATTACACACTTGCAGGCACAACACTCATACACATAAAAAATTAAGTTAAATAAATAAAAAAGCAAACAAAAGACTCATTGCACAGCTTTCTCAGGCAGCTGTCCATTTCCCATTTACTGATGAGAAAACAAAGATCCAAGAAGCTAAGGAACGTAGTTTAGACTTGTCTAGGCAATTTCAAACAGCTATCCATATTATGACAGAGAAAGTCCAGCATGCTCTAAAGTATACCAAGATGAGCTTACTAGAGATCATACAGTGCTTCAATATGTAGCACAGCATGTGTAGGATATGGTACAGGCTCAAAAACATTCCTTTAAAATGTAAATAATAAAGCCAGGCATGGTGGTACATGCCTTTAATCCCAGCACTAAGGGAGGCAGAGGCAGGTGGATCTCTGTGAGTTCAAGGCTAGACTGGTCTGAATAGTGAGACCTTGTCTAAAATATAATACAGTAAAATGTGAACAATGAGGTGCAACAAAGTTGTTACCTGAGGCAAGGTAAGATTTGGATATGTACAGCAGGAAGTGCTGAAATATCAGCATGGATAAGGCACAGCCCAAGATTTGGAGCTGCAGAGTCTGAACCTCTGTTCACAGAACCTCAGCATATATCAGGAACAGTTGGAGCAAAGCAAGTTACTGTACAGGCAGCAGCTGGCAGAGTGTCGGCACCAGGAGAACCTCATTGAGAGTCTAGTCAGGCAGCATGATGCCCTACAGGCTCAACAGGAGGCTTTTCTTGAGCAGGTAGGTGCTTCCTGCTACCTTTCTTGCTGTGGAAGGGTGCAATCCAGAAGGGTGCAATATGATGTCCAGAGAACAGAACGAGGTGATTCATGGTGGGAGCTCCTGGTAGGGAGGCAGAGGTGGTAGGGTGGCTTAGAACTGGGCCCTCCTGAGGACCTGTAGGAGGAGATGAGTCCTCTTGGAAACACCCTGAAGAATGACACATCTCAGGGTCTCTGCAGTGTGCATCTGTCCTCATTTAGATGGGCAAGGCATTTCTAGGTCCTCTGAGCCAGCTGCAGGTGTCTGACTTTGAGGAGATACGGAGCTATCGAGCACCACCAGAGTCTGTAGTCCAGGTGACGGATGCACTGTGTGACCTGTTCCACCATGAAACAGGCTGGGCTAATGCCAAGCAGCTGTTATGTACTGAGAATTTTTATCAGGTAGGGAAGATAAGGCACCATAAACAAGGAGAGTAGTGACCTAAAGGGGAGATTGGGCAGGGCTAGCCTGTTGAGTCAAGGTCCTGAGCATCCATGTCTTCCCCCCTCCCCTTAACACATAACCTCCCAGGAGCTGGTATTCTTCCCCAAGGAGAAACTGACCGACTCGGAACTGATCAAGTTAGACCAAGCTCTGAATGCTCCAGGGATGCGAGATGCAGCTTTGCGGGCTGTAAGCACACCTGCTGCAAACCTGGCAGTCTGGCTCTGGGCTGTTCTACGCTATGGGATGGCCCATCGTCGGGGATTGCCTACTGGCCTGCTGCTGCAACAGGTGGAGGCAACACTTGCTCGGGAGCAGGCCCGCCTAGGCCAGTTCCAATTTCAGGCCCAGGAGACATGGGAGAAGACTATGGTTCTGAATAAAAAGCTGGAAGATGCCCAAACTTGTTACAATCTCCTGATGGAGAGCCTCAGTAAGGCACAGGGTGGACAGTATCACAAATGGCCAATAAAGTCTGTGCTACTCACACCTTTGCACATGTGGACCACACAGCTCCAGGTAATGAAGCTTTCCCATATGTCTGTTTCCTAGTGCCTTTCACATCCCCACCATGCACCAGGCTTCCTCTGTCTTTCCAAACCCTCCTCACCACAATTTCCTCTGTACATTGCCTTGCTCCCGTCAGCGTCCTTCTGTCTGCCCTTCCACCCGCCTCCTGGTCTCACCGGCCCACTCAACGCTCTGATTTTCTCTTCACATCAGAAGTTAAAGGAACACTGCATGACTGTGTTTGGAGATGCCCTCTTGTGTGCAGCTGCTGTCATGTATCTGGGTCCCTTCCCGCCACAGCGGCGCAAAGAGCTGTTGGACAAGTGGCTGTCTGTGTGTCGGGGCTTTCAGGAAGATCTGGACGCAGATGACATTGCACAGGAACTGAAGCAGAAATCTGTCAGCAAGCCACCAAAGACCCCTCTGCTGCCCACACGCGTTCCCTTCAGGATTTTGTCCTTGCTGAGCTGTAAATCTGAGCAGCACCAGTGGGATCGAGACCTGAAGCCCCAAGCAAAGTCAGCTCGCCTGGCAGGTCTGCTGCTGCGAAGTCACATTCACTACCACAGCCGCCGTTGGCCTCTGCTGCTTGACCCCAGCAACCAGGCCCTCGTCTGGTTGAACCCATTGCCTCTGAGAAACGAGTGGTTGGCACCAGTTTCTGCAGAGAACAGAGGTAGGCTCCGATAAGGGCATAATTTAGCTTCTGGGGCATCTGAGCTGCCCACACCCCCAGCCTCCTATGTTCTTCCCTTTCATGGTAGAGACACTGAATTTTTGTGGCTAGCACATCTCACATATTAACACATATATTTGATCACACTGTTTTTGTTTGGGGCTCATGTTACAGTGACCCAGAATCTACCTAGCTGGCTAGGTCATGATGTTCCACATTCCTGGTCTACTCAGCACCATGGAAAATCTTGCCTGCAACTAGAGCTTTACTAACCAACATTTATCCAACATTCAGCAATTCTATGGGAACATTTTCATTGCCTTTCTTTGGGACCCATCTGGATAGAGTGTTGGAAGAAAGGTTTCCTAGAAGAAGTGAGAGTGCCCATTTGTAAAAGAAAGGACTGGGAATTAAAGAGATGAGGGGGAAATGCAGCCTTTCTTGGAGATAGGGTATTTACAGACATAGTGAACTTCAGGACCTTGAAATAAAATAATCCTCCTCTCTATATGAGCAAGCCCCAGATCCCATGGCAATCATCTTTTAAGAGACAGAGGAGAGAACACAGACACAGAGGAGGAGGCCCTATGAAGAAGGAGGCAGATATTAGAATTACGTAGCCGCAAACTGAGGAATAGCTAAAATTTCACTCTCCAGAAGATGGAAGAGGCAAAGAAGGATCCTTTAGAGCATTTGGAGAGAGTGCAGCCTTGCTGACACCTTGATTTCAGACTTCTGGCCACCACAATATGGGAACTAGCAACTGTCAGTAAACCCAGTTCAAGGGGATCCCTCTTCTGACCTCCATGGGCATTGTACAATACTTTCATACATGGAGACAATACACTCATATACATAAAATTTTAAAAATTAAATATTTTTTAAAAATGAAAACTTCATATGTAATTAAGGTTACTAATTAAGGCACTAATATCTCTTAAGGTAGAGCTTATTACCCTGAATTATCCTAGGTGAGCTCAGTCTAATTAAATGAGCTCTTCGTAGCAGAAAGGAAAAAAACAGAGAGATTAGAAACCAAGGATGGGTTCAATGAACTGTTGTTGACTTGAAGATGGGTGGGGCTTACAGGGTAAGTGTGAGAAGGAAATAAATTCTGTCAGAAACCAGTAAGAGCTAAGCATAGTGGTATACCTAAAGTCTTAGCAACTCAGGAAGCTGAGGTATTCCTTGAACCCAAGGGCTTGAGGGCAGTCTGGGAAAGATCATGAGATCCTATCTTAAAAAGCCAAACAAGGGGGCTGGAGAGGTTCAGTGGTTAAAAGCACTGGCTGCTCTTGCAGAGGACCTGGGTTCAGTTCCCAGCACCCACATGGCAGCTAACAACTATCCATAACTCCAGCTCTAGGGGATCTGACGCCCTCTTCTGACCTCCACAGGCATAGCATGACATGGGTGCACTTATACACATGCAGTCAATATGCTCATATACATTAAAAAAAATTGCCAACAAAATAAAAACCCCACTAAACCTGGAGGAACACCTCAAGTCCCAGATGAGATCTTGATCTAAGCCCAGTGTCGTACTAAGCAGAGAATACAGCCATGCCCACAGACCCATGGGATAATAAATGGAGTTTTGAACTGCTAAATTTGTATTAATTTGTTAGCAAGAAAAAAAATGAATGCACCAAATTGTGGGCCTGGCTGTCTCCACTTGTAACAGAACCTAGAAAGAAAATACGTATTCCTCTCTTCCGGCCCCCTGCAGAAGAGGAGACAAGAGGTTGGGAATGACTGTTTCCACATCACCTTGTGTGGTTTCCACCACACCACCCATGACTTGTCTCAAACACTACCTTATAGCTTTTTGCTTGCAAGTCACTTCTTTCAGACACCAATTTCTGTACTAGGAAGGACTTTTTAAATTGTTACTGCCAGGATAACTTGTTTTAAAAAAGAGTTGGGGGGAGACACCAACTTTTGTAATTAACCTATAGAAATGGAGCTAATTTCAAAGATGAGTAACCTTGCCTTGGAATTTTAGAGTAAAATGGTATTCAGCATTTACTGAGTGTTGGCTATGTGCCAGTCCACATGTTTTCTATGTATCATTACATTTACTCTCCACAGTAACCCGATGAGGTCTTCATTGATAACAACTCCATTTTCCAAATAAGGAAATTGAATCACAGAACTTAAGTAGCTTTCCTAAGCTGTCTTCCTACAGACATGTCCTCATGATATGGAACCCACCCTCGGTCCCTCCCTAGGAACCCAATTCCTCCTTAAGAAGCACTCCTGTGCATCTTTCTGTCCCAGAAAAGGGCCACGAGACAAATCAAGACATAGAGAATGCAGAGGAAGATGAACTAGAAGATGATGATGATGGTGGTAACAGAGAAGGAAATGAGGCCAGGGACCAAACAAAAGAGGAAAACAAAAATGCGGGGAAAGAGCAGGAGGAGCAAGAAAAAGAGAAAGAGAAGAATGAGACCGGAAGTCCAAATCCAGCCTCTGAGCCTCAGGGTCCACCTCTCCTCTGCCTTACTGTGCTCTCAGGTGCTGACCCAGAGTTGGGTCCTCAGCTTCTAAAGGCAGCTGCCAGTGGTAAGAATTGATTACCAACCACCATGACCCCCATTTTTCTCCCCCAGCTCTGTGACCTCCACAGTCCTCTAACACCTCAGTTTGACCTCAGTGCCCATCCTTCATTCCACCATGTTGAAGAATCCTGAGGGATCCCTCCTATCAGCCAGGAGAGAGCCGGGCAGAGGCAGATGTTGTGCAGAGGCTGGGTGGTGTGGTGCTGGCATGGTAGACAGGTTGTCCATGCTTCTCCTTGCAGGCTTGCCTGTGCTCTTGACCAATGTGGAGCTGGGCCTAGCGTGCCAAGAACTCCAGTGGCTGCTGATTCGGGAGAAGCTGTGTCCACCCCAGGTGCAGCCTGGCTTCTGTCTCTATCTGAGCACTACCCTCCCCATCCATGCTTTGGAACAAGGTGAGACCCACAGGGTAAGTTACTACAATAGCTTTGTGGACATACTTGGTTCCCAGTAACAGCCTGAAGAGGGATTCAACTTGGCCTCGAGTAGGCTCAGAACTGTAATAGGGAACCAAACTCCCTGTCTGCCCTGCCTCTGACTCTGACAAGGGTGAGTAAGTACCTTCTGTGTGACCCTAAGTGCTAGGTTGTGAACTGCTGAAGGGCTTGAATGTTCTGGATCTGGGTCTGAACATGGACGTACTAGAAGAACAGATGCTGCATGAAATCTTGTGCAGAGAGCATCCTGAGCTTGAGACCCGCTGGCAGGAGCTCAATATCAGAGCAGTGGATACCCATGAAGCCATGGAGGCTGCTCAGGTGCTTGGGGGCCCAATCTGTGGGATGGGATAGACACTGGGAGTGCCTGAGTATGGTGCTGCAGATGAATGTAGATGTTGGGGGACTGTGACAAGGGTCCAGGTCCATCCAAGAAATTACTGTATGCAGGAGCATTTGCTGATGACACTGCTGCTCCAGAATCAAAAGCGCCAGAAACCATCTAAGTTTCTGAGGGAGATGGTAAGGATTCAGGCAAAGATATGTCAGCTGAATGCTCATGGTGAAGAGCTAGAAGAGCAAAAGCTGGAGGAGGTGACCATGTGGGTACCCTACCGGCAGGTTGCTTTGCATGGAATGGCCATGGTGGAAGCCCTAAGCCCACTGCAGAATCTGCAGCCATTTTTCTGTATGAGCCTGGAGAACTGGTTGGCAGCCACCAGGAGGGCTCTAGACAGCATGAAGCCACATGATATTCATCATGGGGAGGATCTGACCAGCCATCTATTGCAGTTGAAAAAACACCTGACCCGCCAGCTGCTGGGCAGCACTGTGGCTGCCCTAGGCTTGACCCAACTACCCCTGGTGGGTGCCTTGGGTGCTTTGGCTCTTCTGCAAGTGACAAAGAAGACACAAAAGCTAGAGAGGTTGGCACTCTGGCCTGGACTGGCAGCCTCTCCCAGCACAGGCCAAAACACACAGGTCCCTGGCGTGGTCAGACCAGCCTGGCTAGGGCCAAGAGCCTGGCAAGAATGTGGAGTGTTAGAGCTGCTGCCTTCATTTGCTGGGTTGCGTGCATCCCTGGCAGGTCACTCTAGTGCGTGGCAGGATTATATGTCATTATCATCCACTGTGCTGGGTCCTGCACCTGGTCCCAACCCTGAGCCACTCAGCCTCCTCCAGAAGCTGATCCTGTGGCGCGTACTACGACCTGATTGCCTGACAAGTGCCCTGGCAGACCTCACCACCAGCCTACTGGGTCAGCCCCTGGATGAAAACCTGGATGCTCCTACCATGGCCTTTGAACATAGTCAGGCTACTCAGCCCATACTGATCCTGCTGCCACCACCTGGCCACCCTACAGCCACCCTGCATCCTGTGACAGTCATCCGGAACCTGGCTGCCAAACATGAGCAGGTTTGAACATCACTTAGCCCAGAGAATGGGCTTCTATGGGCTGGAATAGAGTATGGGCGCCTTTTCCCAGTTTTCTCATGAGTCTTTCTGGATCATGCAGGTACTTTTGGATTCTTGTGTGGCATTACTCTGAATCTCTGACACCCCAGGATCTCTTTGAATGACTCTGACATCTTTTTCTTTTACTGATCCATAGGGGCAGAAGCATCTGCATGTCATAGCACTGGGCTCCGAAGCTTGGGATCCAGTCTCAGATGTAGTCAGCACTCTATGTCAGGCTATGTCCAAGGGGCACTGGCTGGTGCTGGATAACTGTCATTTGATGTCCCATTGGCCAACAGAGCTGCTGCAGCCCTTGCTGGGACTGCTGGATGGAGCCAGTGGTAAGTGTGCTACCTAGAGTTGGCTTCAAGGATCCTACCCTACACTTGGGCCTGAGCTGGAACTCTCAGGCCTCATGGCTAATCCCCCAGTTCAAATTGGATCCCTTTGGCTTCGTGTCTGATTCCTGTTGCCAAGTTTTTTGTATAATCCTGTGTGGGTCAGCCCCTTCGTTACCTGAAGACTGATCTCAGTCCCTTGTCTAACCTTAGTGGTCTCAGACCTGGAACTGTCAGCCCAACCTGAAAGCAGGAACGTGGCTACTGTCCACAGAGATTTCCGTCTTTGGCTTATTGTGTCTACTGAGGCTAGTGCTTCTTTGCCAGGTGAGGAGCATCCCTTGACAGGCTGTCAGTCAGAGGGAGGGAGGGCAGTGGTACTGTGCTGAATCAGTGCTTGGCTTCCTTCACAGGTGTGCTCACTCAGCACTCCATGCCTGTTTTCTGGGACCAGTCCCTGGAGCTGGGCCCTATCTTGATCGACAGCATGGAGGTAGTTCAGCAAGGACTCTATAAGCAACCACTCACCCAGACAATGCCTCTGCTCCTCCTACATGGCCTCCTCCTACACCGACAGCTCTATGGAATGAAGCTGCAGGCACACAGGGGGCGCTGGTGAGGCTTCTGCCCACCCTACTCACTCACTCAGCCAACACTGAGTATCTTCCTCACAGCATGCTAGGATTAGAAAAACCGATTGATCTTTGGGAGTTCCAAAGAGTGAAGGCAGGGGAAGTCAAGGAACTCTAAGGAATTGGGTTATGATCTCACTTTAAAGTCAGTGTTAAAAGCAGTGGCAAATTAGTAGAAAGAGGGCCTTTCTGAGCAGAAGGAACTAAACTCGACAAAAAGGTGACTTCAGTGTGGCTGAGATGGACATACTGGGGATGGGGTAGGGAAAGGTGAGTCTCATCACAAAGGGCTTTTAGAACCATGGCAAGGGGCTTCAGGGTATCCTGAGGACAGCAGGAAGCCACTGAGGGATTTTAAATAGGAGAGAAAACTTGATCCTGTTTGTTCAAAGTATCCCTCTGGCTGCAATGTACAGAATGGACCAGAGGGGGTGGGGAGGGTGGGCCTGGAGGCAAGCAAAAACTGGTATTTTTGAAGGCTCTAGCAGGTTCTAAGGAAGAGATCATAATATGGGTGGTAGGGACTAGGGTGGTAGAGTGCAAAGCTGCAATGAATAGTGAGCCCTCAAATATCTAGAGCTCAGGAGGGAGGTTTGGGCAGGAGAAAAGATGTCAGAGTCCTCAGTACATTGTTACTGAAATCATCCTTTCTCTACTCCTTCCCCAGGAGCCAAGTGACCCTGACCAAGGTCCTTCAGACCCAAGATCAGTTGTCAGCTAGTCTCAGTAATCCCAGTACTGCCATGCAGGAGCTGGCTGGTAAGACTCCCTCCTGACCCCCAATCCCCAACCGGTTGTCAGTCCTCAGAATACCTGCAAACCGGTGGAGGTGGGAGTCTAGAGGCCAGGTCATAAACCCACAGCTTTGGTTTGAGGGTAAGTAGAAACAGGAAGGGCTGGGACTGAGGGGCTCTGTCCTTCATCCAAAGCTTCAGTTTTCTACGGAGGCTCTGTTGGGGACCCTGAGGACAGAGAGGCCCTAATTAGCCTGACACAAGCCTGCCTGAATCCCAGCAGCAGGAGCTGGGTCCAACCATACACACCTCAGTATCTGCTGGCCACTCTGATGCCCAGCCCAGGTAAGCTGCAGGCAGATGTCTGTGTTGAGTGGGGAATACTGCATTGCAATGCCATGCCCACAGGAGTGTGCCAATAAAGGTATGGGGGGCGGCAGTATTGACAGTTACAGAGTGTCAGAGGAAGGCCTACTCTGTTGAGTCTGGTGGAGAAAATTTATCTTGTTCCACAACCTCATCTACCCTCCAACCTTAAGAACTAGGGGAGCTGGATGCTATGGCCGAGTGCAAGGCCCGGATGCACCTACTTCCAACACCATCTGAACCTCGGACCTGCGGGCTGAATGAAGGGCCCAAGGCCAGCCTGATGCGATGCCAGAGCCGTGCCCTTCTGAGTGCGCTGCAGCGGTGTTCACTCACATGGGTTCCTTCAGCTTTCAGAGTAAACACCCAGTGCAAGGAAAGGCGTCTCCGACAACGCCTGGTGCAAGCCAGGAGAAGGCTGGTGGCATTACAGGGTTTGCTGGCCAACCCCAACATTACTGGTTCAGGCCCGTCTCTAGGTCCCAGGGCTGTGGGGCCCAGTTCACAGCGGCCTCTGGAGGGCTTCCTAGAGACAGAGGTGCTGGAACTGAGACAGCTGGTGGTCACACTGCAGCACGACCTTGACTGCCTGTTGCAGAGGCTGATGGGCAAACCCCCGTGCCCTTCCAGCCGTTGCGCCGCTGTGGCTGAGGCTCTTTGGACAGGACGCCTGCCTCGACCTTGGAGACCTCATGCGCCTGCTGGTCCACAGCTGCCCTGGCAATGGCTGCGACAGCTGTCCAGCCGTGGGCACCTGTTGGTTCGCTACCTGACCAGTGGCAGAAATGAAAATACCAATGAACTACAGCGTATATTCCACCTGTCTGCCTTTCGTCACCCTCGTCGCCTGCTGCTGGCGCTGCGTTGGGAGGCTGTCCTGGAGCACTCGGTGCCCAACACCAGCCTTCCGGCTAACCAAGACTCTGGATCTAGCGCCACCACCAGTCATCTCCCACATAAATGTCAGGAACTGAGCAACAACCCTCTGCATATTCGGGTATCTTGACTTCATCCTTTCTGGTCCCTATTCCGCCTAGCCAGGGTACCTAATTATAGCCCATCCTGTCCCTTAATGATCTTGCCCCTCCCTTAGGCCCAAATGTGCTGGCCCTGATCTCACCCTCTACCCCTACTCCCTGTGTCCTGTCCCATCTTCCTAGCATTGCCTAACTGGTTTCTGGCACCCCCAGGTGGAGAATGACCCAGATCCCAAGGTTCCAGAGATGGGGCTGCTGCTGATAGGGCTACAGGTCCAGCACGCAGAGTGGGACACAATAGATGGGGCCTTGCAAGACAGTTCTTCCAGCCAACCCAGCCCTCTGCCTCCTGTCAGCGTCAGCACAAGAGCCCGGAGTGCCAATGATGTGCCAGTCTTAGCCAGCCTGGGCGTGTACTCCTGTCCTGTGTACATGACAGGACCCCTTGGCACCACTAAGCTACACAGCAGGAACATCCTGATGCACCTGCCCCTACCCACGAAGCTCAGCCCAGCCACCTGTATTCAACAGAGAGTCCATGTGTGCAGCCCATCCTTAACCTGAACCCCCACCAAAATAAAGCTGTAGTGATGCCATGAATAATTTCTGGGATTTGGAATGAGTGGTGTGTGCACAGAATGCAGACTGTGGCACAATGAGGAAAGCAGATGTTATTCACAGAAGGGGGCATGTGCAGAATAACTCAGGAAAAGAGAGCAGCTAGAGTTGGGGGTGGGGGACGTTGTTGGTGTTTAGTCACGTTCCCAAGGGGTTATACAGACCTGGCAATGGCTAACACACAGAATCCTAAATCCTTGCTCAGCTGTCTTCTGTGGTCTTGGCACTTGTGTTAAATCTCCAGTGGGTGTTTTTGAATGGAGAACACTAAAACTAAAAGCTGCTTAAGGTATTTAGCATTTTGGGAACACCTTAGTCCTGACTACCACTCATACCACACCACCTCCTATCATAGGATTCTCTGAATGAGTTGTAACATGTGAAAAACAAAAGCCAAATAAGATTCAAGGTCCTTTGTTCATTCAAGAGTAAATAGTTGAGCAAGCACTCCTCCACAGGAAGTGCTCTCTCAGGCACTAATGAGGCTGTTCTACAGAAGTGCATAATAAGCAAAAGCTCCCACTGTCCTCAGAAACCTATCTCCTCACCTGGGGTAACCAGGCATGGCTGCTCCTTCACATGAGGAAATTAGCACTGAAAGAAGTCCTTTTGGGTAAATCAGCTCTCTATGCTTAACCATCACCATTATCTATCCTCCCTAATAGTGACAGACCTCTAAATCTAAAACCATGGGATATGGGTTAGTAAAGAATATTTCTGGGACTGGAGCGATGGCTCAATGGTTAAGAGCACTGGTTGCTCTTACAGAGGACCCAGGTTTGAGTCCCAGCACAACTCCAGTTCCAGGGCATCTGACACCCTCTTCTGACTTCCATAGGCATTGCACTATGTGGATACGCTTACACACATGCAGGTAATACATTCTCATACATAAAGTATTTTAGAATATTTCCTACAAATCCACACCATTCTCCAAACTGAAATTCATTCTCGAATTAAACCCAGCCCAGTTAATAAACTTTGTCAACTAGGGATTGTACAAAATGAGCACCTTACAGTTAAGAGTTATGCAATTTGGGAGTCTTTTAGATAGACCCACTGAAGGGGTACCCCAATTGCCTCACCCTGTGTCCCTCTTCAGGATGGAAGAAGCCAGAGTGGTCTGTGTCCGGATTCCCTATCAGCAATTTGGGTAACCCCTTCAGAGGAAGGTGTGATAAGAATAGGAGGCAGGAATTGGCTAGGCAGTTAGGGTAAAAAGACTCCAAAGAAAAGTAACCAGTTTCTTTGCTTAGCCCCTTCAGAGGATGGTGTGATAAGAATAGGAGGTAGGAATTGGCTAGGGAGTTAGGGTAAAAAGACCCCAAAGAAATGTTGCCAGTTTCTGGACTAAAAGTCAAAATGTTCTCTGGCCTCTTAGCAACGTACTCTGTTCCAAAGGAAGTATTTGGGAGCTTTTATCTAATCCCTAAAAGATTTTAGGGTTACCTCTAGGGGGGGATGTCAGAGTACCCAAAAGCCCCATTTTTTTTTAAAAAAAAGTTGTCATTGTTAGGGTTCCAAACAGCAGCAGCTTCCCCCCTCCCCAACAGGGACCTACAGACTGTGGAGCCCAAAAAAGGGAACTGAGCTGATAAGCACCTTGACCTTTGAAGTCAAGGGAAACAAACTCTGCTGAGAAGCAGCCTGCCTTTCCTC